TATTATTAGAACAGGGTTTCGAAGCCCATGATACTATAATCATAATAAGGAACCCCACATAGCACAGGTATAGAAGCCGCCATTTATAGAGCGCTAGAGTAGATGTAGGTATATTTTGTGAAAGCACCTTTGGAACCTCCCCAAGTACCCTAACAAAGGGGCAGAGAGTATACTTATCAAGGCCCCCATAGACCCTATAGTGAAGGGCTTTCTTGGAGTTCGAGCCGCCCCAACACGATTCAGAATGATCGCTTCGCCCAGTCCTGATGGCAGCCCACAAAGTTCCGCGTGCCCTTCACCTGGCAAATTCAGACTTAGCTTGGACTGAGCCTACATGTCCAGTAATCTTGAGACTTGCTGATCTTGCTCTGGGCATAGGGACTTTAAGTACAAAGGCCGAAAGACATAAGCTACACAACATCAACACACGTTTTAAAGCCAACACGTGCAGAAAAGGCGCTGAAAGTCAAAGCTGACAGCTAGGACTAGGATTGCGATCTGAACATTTGGTATAGCGTGTTTTGGGTTCATGGTGATTTAGTGCTTCAAATGCCCTTGGACATGGATACAGCATGTTGCCTTCGAGTGCTGAGTTGACGAAACGAAGGCTTGAATCTGCACTCAAGGACTGAGGGCTAGAATATGGAAAAACCACCATCCAGCATAACTTTGCGCACATGCAGTCTCTCCTTCCTCCCAGTGCTCAAACCCAAAGGGTTCATTCCGTGGTCGATGGCCCCACAAGAATCGCAGAAAGCCGGCTACAAATCGCGCCGCAGTCGCCGCTTCTGCGCCTGCAAGCAGATGGGTGGTACATCTTGCACGACGATTCCACGGACTGAACAAGACAACTCTGAGTCCGAGCCCCATCCCAGGATCTTAAGATCGTGACATCGATATCCCTGTCGGATCTCTTAGAAACCCGAGCCCTACTCAAGAGCAGTCTAGGAGAGTCTGAACTTGAAGGCCTATGCCAACCGTATCTTCGACATCCTAGCGGCTGAAGCCCCTTTGTTGAAACAACGGCTTATATCAACTTTCAGGCTCATGCTATTGGTTAGTTTATGCAAGAAGTTGGAAAGGTGCTGCAGAACCTAGACAACACTCGCTGACGCAGGCACGGCTTCTGGGACGGCGGTTGGGGGTTTAGAGGCAGCATGATTGCTGACCAGAGGGGCCTGCAGCCCGCAAGAACTGCTCGTCGCGCGACTCTTGGCGTGCAAATCCCCAAGCAGCGATGGAGAGGTCCTCTAAGGTTTTTTTCCCTCCCACCTAGCACGGACGAAGCCCGCATTTCAGGGTAACTCGGTTGAACAGCTCCTCCAAGGTTTCGGCGCTCACACTGGGTTTGCGGTAGTTTAGGGTTTACGGTTGGCGGGAGTTAAGATTTCGGGTTGGAGGGGCATAGGGTACTCTTCTCAAGGTCTGCGGTCTTGGGTTCCGCATCTAAGGCGTTACTTTTACGGTGGCAGGCTTGGTGTCTGCAACTATATATCAATGACGATATGAGTTTTTGTCGTGAGTTGGAAGCCTTGGTGGGGAAGCTGCAGCTGCTTGCCACGGTCGGTGATGCACAGTTGCGAACAGATGGACCATAATCTGGAGAGTCCACGCTGCAGAGAACCGAATGTCCAGGCCCGGTACAACTCTGAGCAGTATTCAAACAAGGCCAAAATTCGAATACCGCCGCCGAGTGAAGAGAGTGATATAGCTCGAGCTTCCACACCCTGAAGCCGAAAGCCACGAAACCATAACACAAAAAACCTGTGAACCCTGAAATCCTGCAGCTCTTAAGCCGCACAAAGGCAAGCCGGTCCCGCTCACGAAGCTGCGGCAGAAGAACGATGGACTCCTGGGCCTTGGAGAGACAAAGATGTTGACGGTCGAAGGGTTTAGGGCCATTGGGCTTAGGATGATTGGGATAGAGGTTCCAGGGTAGCAAGGTTGTAGAGCCTTGAGTCTGTAGTATACGATGACCCATGAACTGCTTCTTGCAGATTATGCGTGCAGTCTGGAAGCCGTAGGGGTGTTAAGGATGTTGGGATTTAGCTTGAGCGCGGGATTCGTCAGTTTTTCGCTGTATGAAGGTTAAAAACTATGCGCAGGTACCGGCTTTCCCAATGCTGGACCCCCATGAAGCAAGACCTCCTACCCCCACGCAATGGAGATTCTGAACCCACACTGGTGACCGGGGCGCCTGAAGGCAAAGATGAGCAGGAGAATTCTAGACTTCGGGTTTCGGATTTGCTGGGTCTAATTGTAGTACTGACTGCTTAGGACGAACCTGCAAGGCGGCTTCAGGATTGCAGAGCTTGAGGAGCTTGAGGGGGGAGTTGACATGGTGTAGTGTGGAGACTGTAGACCACGTGCAGCTTGATTGCGAAAGTCACGACTCTAGCATCACAGGCGGCCATGGCTGACCGCATCACGAACCGGAACATCATAGTTCATGGTAAGTTTGCAGGGTCATCTGTATATGACGATTGGCATTACCTGGATCCTTGACTATACCTCATGGAAGCCAAGGAGGCATAAGGCTCACCCTGAAGCATTGGTATTCGCCCCGATACCCCAACTCCTGAACTCTACACCTTGAGCACATGATTCTATCACACACCCGACGCCCAAACCCTAGACTCTCTACCCCCCAAGCCTTGGGGTCTTGGAAACAGAATAGTGTGTCAAGTCCCTTCCTCCATCACTTGGGCACGCGCTACCGCGCCAAACAGCGTAGTCCTCCACTCGAGGCTTACATAAAGCCTAAACCCTACAAGGCTTACAGGTGCAGGCGGAGGCCTTCGGTGACTAGCACTGCTGGGGCATCCTAGTTTTAACTCTGCCAGGGCTCCTGGAGAAACCTCTAAACCCGAAAATCCTAGCACTCACGTCTTCCTGGACATGGAAAGTTCACAGTCTCCCAGCACCTACACATCAAAGGACATCCTAGTTTAGATTTAACGAGAGGAGTCAGTATCTGTTAGCAGTTGGAAACCCCCCGTATACGTGGCATTTTAGGCTAAAATTCGGGGTGCTGAGGTCGCTGGCAGGTCGCTGGGACCTCCGGGTGAGGAGGAACCCGCATACTTCAGAAACCAAGTGTCAGCAGGATTTCATCTACGGGATTAGGTTTTAGGGTTTAGAGTATACGATTTGGCCTCAAAATGTAACAAACCGTGTCAGCTCAACATATACACGGTATGGACACATGGAATACATGGGTCTGGATCTGGAACTGCAGGATACCCTCGACAAGCAGATCAAGGAAGTCTCTGATACAACAACCTACCCGCAGACTGTCAGCCCACAACCTCAAAGCGGCAAAAACACAGGCTAGCAACTTACGAAGAACACATGCACGTAGTGCCTAGGCTTTTGGGCTTTTTTCACTCCGAGGCCTGAAGAGCCCGAAACCTTTCAGGGCATGACATTTACCCATAGGCCCTAAAGTAGTTCCTTTTGGGATTACCGTATAGGATTCTAAATATTAACCCCGAAAAGGAACTACTTTGGGGCCTATGGGCAATACACGGTAAACCTGTGAAGCCAAAGTCAAGGACTCTACAACATAACCTTCTACACTCTCACCCTCGAGCCCTTAGACTCAGACCCTCTGTGTGCAGCACACCTGCCTTTTCGACCTCGTCTGAGCGTGCCTAAGCCGTGTTCGGCAAAGCTTCTGGTTTAGGGCTCTATGGCTTTGCAGCTTGATATCAGAGTTGGCTGGAGACAAAGCCCGTGAGTGTACGGTATTTGGCCAACCTGCCTAAAGGCAAGCAGCAGCGGAATCAGTGGTGTCTAACCTTGATTAATCTGGATCTCTCAGGTGCCAGAAAGGGCAGAGAAAAAGTCTAACTCGTGTGAATAACTTTAAGCGCTACACCTCCCTTGGTCATTTCTGTATTGTAGTACTTCGTTATATTCACATTACGATCCGCGTTACGATTCCTTATGAATACAGTAGTACAAGGCCCACAAACAATGAACCGATGCAGAAGCCTCTTGGCAGTTGGACTTGCAGCTTCAGGGCCTTTACACCGGCTCTAGGGCAGAGGATTTGGGCTGAGTAGGCGCTCACTCGGACTGGCCAAAAAATGCATGTTCATGAGTCTGTGGCCACTGAAGTACCGCTTGTCGGAGCCTCCTAGCTGAGCTTCTTCCACCAACGAAGCCCAACGGCACAGTTTCCAAGAAGAACTCGAGCCTCAAAACTCGAAAATGCTCGAGGAGATAGGGTTTAGGAGATGGTGGAGCCTATCTCGATACAAGGGCCTTTTTCAAGGGATTTCAAGGGTGAATGTCACGGGTGAAACGCTCCGATGCATGGAAATCAATGGGAAAATCGGCCAGAGCCCCAGCATGCGGGGCTCTCAAGCTCTATCAACACAAGGTTTTGCAAGAGTTTATCTAAAATTTTGACACTTGCGGCATCGCAAAACGGATTTTGTACTTATGAAGCAAGTCACACGGTACAAGTCTGAATAGTGAACTCCGAAACCTAGGTTTGATCGCAGAGAAACTACGTGGAGGTGGCAGAAAGTACGGAAGGAGTACATAGTATAAGCCCTATATGGACCTATGGACTATAAGCCTACATCCTTACAGGAGTTGTGCAGTAGGAGTGTGGGTACGGTAGCTTCATGTTTTAGACCCTGAGACTGTAGCCTGAGGGTCTTCTTGGGTCCGGGTCCCGGCCCTTGGATTTCAAGCCTTGGAAGCCCGCAACCCTCGGCATGGCTGAAAAGGATGGAGTCGTTTCTGAAAAGCAGGGGTCGGGGAACCACTGAAATAGACGGGGTATGAGCATTGTCAGCTGCAGGGCTCTTAAGTTGACGTTTGAGCTTGAACCCGGAGCCGTGAACCCCACACTTATGTAGAATACTCGCCTTTTCAAAGTGTTGGGCCGTTACTTTACTGCCATTTTGTGGTATAGGCATAGGGAAACCTTGAACCCATGGAGGCTTCGGCTTTAGACTGAAGATTCCCTAGGCAACGATGCCGGCTCAGTGATGGCCAAGCTTGGACTTCAGCACGTCGTTGACCTGTGCTCGTTCAACGCCCAGAGAAGAGTGTGTTGTAGCACCTTTAATCGTGTTTGTCAAGATTGCACTTATAACACTATAAGAGTGTTTTAGAATGCCACTGATCTGGTTTTTCTTATTAAAGTCGTACTACAATACCATGAGACTCTCAACTTGCAGGACTTCGAGGAATTCAGGACTGAGGGCTTAGGGCTTGCAGCCAGGGCTGCCAGCTGCTGTGTAACAGCGTAACCCTAAAACCCTCCAACCTCCTACAAGCCATCAAACCAACGGCTGCTCGGAGTTTAGGGGTGTTGGCTTCGGGGCTCCAGGGATCCTAGGGGCACAGGCCCTGCACCATTGTGTGTTGTAAAACTATTTTGGTGGCGGGCTCTCTACAGATCACATCATATATTTCGGGTTTCAGGGCATGTGCTGACAGGTGTCTTGGTAACTTCTTTTGGCTCTAAACCCTTAACATCCCTTAACCCTAAACCGCAGAATGACGGTATGTCTTTCCGTGGATCTAAAGATTCTGTTCAAACGGCCGCACCCCCCCCTCGGATCTCCAAGCAACGAAACAAAGCATTCGTGGCAGCTGGGCGGCAGTAAACGACACGCCGACAGCCTTCCAGGTGCAGGTAGAGAAGAAGTCTGGGAGACGAAATAACTAAAGATTCTTATCCCTTGATACACCCATACGCGCGGCCTGTGCATACCCGCAGTTTTGTATTCAGCTAAGCTTGCTAAGTTGCCACAGCTCTTTCTGTAGCGGTCTCTGTCGCCCCTACCCGAAAAGCCTGGATATGAAGAGCTTGTTTCTGAGAGGCACCGGAAAAGGAACGCGCGAAGACAGGATCAAGACATATGAACCCCAGATTTCTGAACTTCAACCAGCGGGCAGGGTGGATGTCGAGGTATGTCGAGGTTGGTGCATGTCCTAAACCCCAAAACTTGTAAGCCCTAAACCTTGAACCATCAGCCAAGTAGCAACTGGACCTTTGATCCAGTTCATCGACACGCCCTTGAAAAGCCCTCGCACGAGGCCCTCCGTGTGGTAGATCTGACCTAGGCAAACGGCCACCGTGCGGCACAGGATTTCGATTGCCTGCTGCATTGCAATTGCTACTGCAGAACATGAACTCCCTAAACCTGAAACCCTTGAAGCTTCAGGATGACCTGCTTCGGAGTTCACAGCTACCTCCCTGTGCCGGGCCGTAGTTATTGCCAACCAGAACGAAGCTTACCTTTGGTTAGTAGGGAATGGAGGAATGGGGTATAATTGCAACTACTATTACTACCATTCTTCCATTCCCTACTAACCGAAGGTAAGGAAGGCTCAGGTTTCTGCTGGATGGTTGCGGGATGGCCCGGGGAAGTATTGATCGAGGTATGGCACTTGTGTTCAGAAAAACCACACTGTATTTTGGCCGGCGCCCACCATAGAGGCTATCAGGGAATCATCGCACTAGGGACTTTCCATGCCGTAACAAGGCCATGCATGCCAACTGACAGCTTTTGGGTAGCGTGCCAAGGTCTGCGATGACTTGCGGATAGATCTTCTTGCATCTTCCTGGACTTGAGATGTCCAATGCCTGATGGCACTCCTAAGAAGCAGATCTGCCTTAACTCCCAAAGGCCCAAATCGAAAAAACGTAGAGTGAGATAGACCTCTTCACCTATGTAAATCCTGAAGCACGAACGTCTGTAATCCTCATAGTAAAACTAAATCCTAAAACCCCAAATGCGGGAAACCGTTCTTCCAAGATCCTCGATCGGCCGAGTCACTAAATGCATGGATCTCATTCCTTACTGAGAGCTCCGGGACTTAGCTGCGACCCCTGAGGTACCCATTCAGGGCACTTAAAGGTTCTGCTGTAGTGTCCCCTTGAAGAACTACAGGGTTCTACAGTACAGTTGGGTGCCCTTTATAGGGTTGAAACAGTTCAGGGATTTATGACCGGGAATCGTGTTTGTTGTGTCAGGAAGCCGGCACATCGACGCTGGACCATGAAACCCTGAAGCCCTCTGGCCTTAAGCTCTAAACCTGCCCGTGGACCCCATGGTAAATGGCTTAGCCACAATTTGGAAGGCTAGCATTTTGCGGTCTAGGTGGTTATCAGGTGCTTGGGCCAGTAGGGTAAGGCTACGAGGCTACGAAACCTACATATGTTGGGTGGTGAGGGTGTTGCGCCGGAATGCCAAGGCAACTCCAAGTGGTTGCAATCAGCCAGAGGGTTCAGGGGTTGTGTTGAGGGTGGCTTCTCGTCACCCTCCGTTCATGCTTTAGGTTCGGGCCGTGTGAGCAATGCTATGGTCCCTGCTGGACTCAAGAAGAACCCCTGGCCTTGCCGTCGGACCTCGGCAAGGAAGGACAATCTACAGCAACGCCCCTAACTATCTACTGATGGAGTAGTTACGAGTAGTTCTCAAAAAGCCACGCCCTTGAGGAACCAGATTTCCGAAAGTTTGCATGGGCGCAAGCAAATCTTTCCGATCCGGCGGTCGACCTTTCGGGATTTCAAGGGATTCTGGCTAGGGAAGGACAAGATCTGTGTTCCGGCCTTTGCTGCAATGAACACAAAAGCCTCTTCAGCCGAGGCTCTTGTACAACTCCGGGTGCACCTGCATCCTTCGTCGCACGATGTCCAGTGGGTATGTCGTAGACTGTGCGAAGATGCCTCTCAGCGAAGACGACCGGCAAGCTAAAGTTCTAGACTGCTTATACGGCCCAGTTGATGGCTGAGCCCGAGGTGCTGAGGGCTCGTGACTGGCGCTGCTAGCGAGTAGACTATGCATGTGGTGTTATATATGTGTATAGATATGAATATATGTGGATATGTGTATACACACACATGGATGTGTGTGTGTGTGTGCGTGTTCATTCTGACCAGGACTGGTATAATATGGTGTATAGAGACTTCTGCCGCTTGAGGCCGCGGGACCGTCATCACTCATATGCTCGGAGCACAACTCGATTCTCGTGTCGAAGACGACCGGTCATGGCTAAAAACAAGTCCACGTACACGAGCAAATAAACAAAAATGATCAAGCAACTGATGTATGCCTCTGTATCTCTCCCTCTCTCTCTCTCGCTCTCTCTCTCTCTCTCTCTCTCTCTCTCTCTCTCTCTCTCTCTCTCTCTCTCTCTCTCTCTCTCTCTCTCTCTCTCTCTCTCTCTCTCTCTCTCTTGCATATTACAATGTAACCTGCTCTTCCCCAATTAGCAGCTCTAAGCTACGGCAATGGACAAGGACTGGTGTCGCGTTCTTAGGCTGTCGAAGACACCATGGAACAAACCTTATAGCCTTATAGTAACTCATGCGTGCAACTCAAGCAACTGCCCCCACAACCCACGAGCTTCGTGGCTTTGTGCTTAGAACGCTTAATTAGGCCATATTCAATCACAGCTCACATGTCTTGAATCACTGGAGTGGAGGAAACAAGAGGATCATCGACCCAATATCCTACCTGCATCCTCGTGACCCCCGCGCAGCAGCCTCAACGAAACGGAAACTGATGAATCCCGACGCAATCCCAGCATGATTTGCTATCATCATCTTGCCCAAGAACTCTTCGGATCGTTAACGTCTCTACCAGGACCCTTCATGTACATCTTACACATGGAACGTCTAGGAACATTACCCCCAGACATTGCCTGCACAGGCTCCACATAACCTCAGCACGGCACCATCCGGTCGCCAAATCGCGAGAAGTTTCTGAGGACTCGAGCCCTAGCCCTGTCGAGTTTCGTTTTATTCCAGGACGCCGACATGGACAGTGCAACTCGTCAAAATCGAAAATTTATTAATTAGGCTCAAGACAGGCCGCAGCTTTCGCACTTGGACACCTGTTTCTCTCAGTAAACTTACTTAGTATCCTTCCCTTTCTCATCATGGCTCACACGCTAACCCTGCAGCGTCCATCAGCTTCTGAATCCAGGCAAAGTGACAGCCGCACGTGGGGCCGAAGCTCCACCTCTCCTTCCTTGGCAACCTGGGCCTCAGCTTTTCCCCGAAGTGGTTAGGGCTTCATTAGGGGTCTCGGTCTAGGTGTTTAGAGTTTGGGGTTTAACTTTGAGTGTACATAACGATTAAGAGCACTCACAACTGGGACATGCCTGGCGAGGCTACTGATGCGACGACGAAAGCACTTTCCTCCCGTTCCAAATCCCCTTGATAGGCGCCTTTAAGGTCTCGTAGGCCATGAAGCTGAGACCCGCCTCGCCGCTTTGAACTTAGGGTTTGGGATTTGGGCATGTAGGGTTTAGGGTGTAGGTTTCGGGCCCACGCTTGAGAGTTTACTGTTGCTTACTTGGGGCCTGTGGCTTCACAGTTTGCTGTTCTCCGTCGTTTTCAACTGGGCCACATTCCTACTTTCCTTGGAGGAGCAAGCACACCGGGCCATGGTGCCCGATTTCAACACCCCAAATTGGCAAGCATACTTTTCCAGCCTCGAGCTTCAAGTTCTGGGATTCGGCTTAGAGTACGTATCAGGGTCTTGGCAATTGCTCCTAGCACCTGGCTACTGAGAGGGCGCGGTCGTGCGACCCACAGCATACCCTTCATGACCTTGCACGAACACCGAACATGAGCATGTCTTTTTGTCAGAATCTTCCTGTTGCTAGCTCTGTGCCGCGACTCAACCACCATCAACAGAGCTGAGAGTTGCGAGATGTTGCTTTGCTGGGCTTAGCTTCTACATCCCAGAAGAGGGGGCCGTCCGACAAGCCATTGACTGTTGAACTACTGGAGGCTTTTTGGGGATTTGTTGGGGATCTGTCTTGGATAAGCCGCTTGAGGATCTGTGCCGAGCTTTAGAGTAAGGAAGTAGGAGCATGACTGTCGACATGTGGTCAAACCCTGATCCCCGAAGCTCTCACTTAACCTCACACCCGAGAATCAGCAAGCTAGCACCATACAGCCCTCGATACCCTCGAGCGATTTTTTACCGAAACACGGATCGCCGATAGATTAACAAAAGCACTCGATGAGCCAAGGATACACAGCACGAAGTATGCTGGGATGCCTCAAGCACTGATCGGATTGTCGACTCTTTTTTGTATGTATTGTCGACTCGAGACTCCAGAGACTCCAGGCGGAGTGTGATTTTTTGACACTCACTCTCGGACTAGCCTGGCAAGGTCTGCAGGCGGAGTGTGATTTAGGGAGGTGTCTGGGCCTCAGCGATCCCGCACCGTCTTCTTCAAGTAATCTGTACCAGCTGCGAAGTTCCCCCAGTCTTTCATCAGGCTTGAGGTCTGCGCCTTCCACTCACAAAGCACGTCGTGCAACTTCAGAGCAGTTGCATCGGCAAGCAGCTGGTCTGCAGTCTTCTTTATCTTTTTCCACTCATTCTTTGCATTTCCTCGGCCATCTGCTGCTATGATCTTGTCGCCACGTGCCAGAAACTTCAACAACCGCTGTTGATTTGATTCAGACGGTGAGGAGTGATAAACAATCAAGCAACACTGGCCACAGTCAACGACGATCTTGGAATTCATGTCCGCAACACTTTCCCGCTCCATCTCCTCGATTATGTCAACAGCCTTGTTGGGATTTCCTGCAAGCATGTGAGCCTTCGAGTACGTAGCAGATCATATTCGGCCTTAGACCAGTCAAGCGGAATGTATCCCAAATTTCACGTGCACGCACGGCATCGCAGCGATTCGCTGCTGCGTTCAGCAGACCTCCGAGAGCGACAGGATCTCTGGTCCAGGAAGCCCCCTCCGACTGACCTTGCGTCAATAGCCTGTCGACCAAGCGGACATCACCGTACCGTTCAGAGAGTGAAAGATATGCTTGCCAGGTGATCGTGTTCTTTGCAAATGCCTGGTTCGAGGACCATTCCCAAGCATCGAGTGCCCACTCCCGGCAGCTCACATCAGCAATCTGATAGCAAAGCTTAAATGTTGATGACAACAGAATATTAAACTCAGCATCCGTCGCCACCACATCCTTCCCCTCGTCGAACGCTCCTCGTCCGACCTCGAGCGCCTTTTGGGCACGAGCCGGAACCACGGCAAATCTTCCTTTCTGACGGAGGCATGTGGCAAGGGAATGCAGCACGGAGGAGACGTGCACGATGTCAGACTTTATCCCTCTAGCCTGCTGCAAGTCCAGGACGTGTTGCAAAGGGTCCCACCAGTGCTTGTGGCCGCATCGCTGCACAGCTGCACTGAATACACTTATGTCTGCACTGCCAGCAGTGCACGCATCATGCAGCACATCCAAAAGCTGCTTCGATGCGTGGCACTGCTTCAGCCGATGGCGCAGTCCGGCAGCACGCGGAGACCGTCGGACTGGAGTGCTGTTCTTGGGGTCGGTGGGACTTGCCAAAAAGAAGCCGCTAGACCTCTTACCCGTCTTCCCACTGTAGGTCGTTTCGGGACGCATGAGCATGCGTTCGCGCCTTGAAGGTGGTACATGCTGTGGCCGCGAGTGGCTTCGGAGGGCCACGGCAGCAGCAGTTGCCAACCACGAACCCAAATGAGGATACTGAAGCCCTGACAACCGGTTTGGTTCTTTGCCTCTAGCTGTTCAGCAAGGCCCCAAAACGGACCCAACGGAGCGGCTGCAGCTAAGGCAACTGTGCTGAAAGCCATGGCTGTTGCGATCAGCCTGAATCTGTACTCCAGCTTCAAGCCCCATGATCCCAACTGGATATTGCATGCTGTATACCGCGCCCTACATAAGCAACTGGCAACAGGTTTCGGAGTTCACTGCGCGATCTAACTTCGCAAAAGCCATGCCATCACCGGAGTCCTTGGGCCCAGGTAGAGACGGCGCTTGGCAGGGTGTGCCGAACGCTCGGCTTCAAAGGCGTAAGACATCTTGGACTGTATATACCTCGTAACAGAAGTAGAACCTCTGTATAGTCCTGCACTCTAAAGCCTTTTTGGGTTCCAGCCTCACTCTCCAAACTACGATAGTTGTGCAGATGCAGGGTAGCTCTCAAAACTCGGGTCCCTTCTTGAATTAGGTCCCCAACAACGTTTAGAGGACTGCCCATAATATGGAAACCCCTTGACTGTCCTCTTATCTGAAAGGCTTCGGTTCCCACCTCCTAGAAACCCTACTTGCCCCAGTATCCTAAAACCCATGCCATACACCCGGAACCCAACGATCGGGGGCCCGGGCATAGGGAACGATTCCAACCAATGTCGGCCGGATGCCCCGGTAGAGCGATGTCAGCCCTTCCTCCTCGTTCAGACCACTTGCTCGTCTTCCCGAAGGGTCCAAGTATCATGCTGGAATATACTTACAGGGGATTTGGGTGTCTAAGTAGATACCATGATGATACTTGGACCCTTTGGGCTTGTTTAGGGTTTTCCTGCTTCACTGTTTCTGAGTCTAGCACGTTCGGCTTTAGGACCACACCCACAGGCCTAGCCCATAATGAGGGTGATACAGGTACCCTACCCAGGTAGCAACACCCTGCGCGCGATGAAGCTCTCAACAGCTTCTAGAAGGAAGTAGAGCCAGTGTACTGCTTGATATCTTCACACTCTTTAGGGCGCCTCGGGCTTCTAACCGCTGTCGCCTCTTCCCACCAATATCTCAAGGCTAGACAGCAGCACTGCATCAAGGGAGACATTGCCCACGCTATATCTCTTCTGCTGCATTTTCATTTGCAGATTTGGCTACAGGTGGAAAAAAGGGATGCCACATTCGCGGCGATCCCGTAGAAACTCTGTACCCGATGACTCTGCTCTATCGAAAGTGTGGAGCTGCAGCACCAAACGCAATCTCAAGATCAACCCCGTATCGCGATATGTATGAACCCACGAGGAAGAAACCTGCAACTGCAAGCACACGCATTATGGACCGAGTCAGTGTCTCCTATAGTGAGGCAACAACTGCATGTAACAAGAATCTGAGTTGTCCTTTAAGCCCTTTGAAGATTATCTAGTATTATGGTTCTCTACAAAATAGTAGCGGAAATCAAAAAGATCCCAAGGGTAAGACTACCCAGGAGTTGCTAATGTTAGCTGGTCCTGGTGGCCGGGCAAGCGGCTTTCGCTCCAGCCACTGGTACAGGTCATACAAATAAACGTCAACCCTTAACCGGTAACCCAAAACCTTCAACCTAAACCCTTCAATTCAACTATAGGTACCATCTTCTCTTCACTCTTGTTTCCCCCGTAGTTTCTTGCAATCTGCGGGTATGAAGCTCGGAAGCCCAAACTATTCTGGCAACATAAGGTTTGCGAACCAGGTTCATGTACGCATATAGTCTACACTTTGGTTCGAAAGCATTGGCCCCTCTTCAGATTCAACCGCTCGCGCTCCCGAAGGATGTGCTCGAAGGCAGAAAAGTAGTTCGGATACTTCGGGTGCCTCGGCTCAGGAGAGGTTTGGGCAGATGCAACAGTCATGGGGCCGCAAGCTTTGGAGTAGCGTTAACTTGGCTACAATAAGGAGCCCCAGGGAGAAGTAATTGAACCTGCGAACTTGAGAGTCATTTAGAGGTAATTAGGTGAGTCTGAACCACCTGCTTGAGCTTCTGCAGATCACTCTACCACCATCAAGACAGACGTGTTAGCTGCCAGCAGCATTTAGATGATTCGACATTCAGCAGCAGCACCCGGAGCCAAAAAAACCCACAACGTTTGCATATCCCAGTCTCATGTCCCAGTGCGCCGCCATTCGTGCTCGCATCATATCCAACCTTTGGCGGGTCAGGGAGACAAGGCTTCAAGATCTGCGGACCAAGCGGAGAAAGTGGAATCTCCTATATACTAGTACTGTGGGGGGAGAAAGACTTTTGTCTTGTGTCGAAGCCTCTTGCCTTGTTCACTCCGGCGTAGCCGGCGAAGTCGCACCGCACCAGACAACTCTAGACAGGTTTAAGGGTTTAGGGCCGTTTAAGGGTCTGAAGGTTAAGTTCAGGTATTTTTTACCGCTCACACTCGGCTATGAGCTTCAGGGCTAGAGCTTGCCACTTCTTGGCAATACTCAAACCCCTTTCGGCACACAACAGCCTTCAGAGCAAGGACCCGAAACTGCAGAACTCTGCAAACAACCTCAGCCCAGAATTCCCCGAACCTTGGCTTCTACCCGCTGCCCCATAAGTTGCCAAACAAAACCCCAGGATGATCCCAGAATTACAGACTATGTGATCCTTATCGCCCTAGGTTCCCATTTCCTGTAGTTAAAAGAATCACTATAGTTAAAAATTAACTTCCCTATAATCTGTTGATAAATTGCCTGTCCGGATCCTTTGGGTTACTAGATCGCCACGAGAGACCTCGAAACATCTTGAAGCCACGACTCCCTAGAGCCCTAAGCCGAACACACCCAAGACCTCAAAGTCCGAAAACCACCGAGGCCCCAAAGCTTTCTAACCTTGCTACGGCTTTGGGATTAGGGTGATTAGGGTTCAGTGCTTCTGGTTTAGGGTTGAGGGTTTCGGGTTTAGTTGATGTAACCTCTCGCAGCCAAGATAATCTCAACCCTGATGGCCCACCCTTTCGGAGCCCTGAAACGCTTCGAACCACTGCGCCCAGTTTATTCGAAACCGTCTTGGGATTCATAAACCCTTTTGCAGCTGGCCTGCTGCTACTCCGTCAGGACGAACACTTGACCATATTTGGCTACTGGACTCAAGTAAGTCAGTCTACGACCCACAATCATCTTGACCGAGGCCGACATGCAGCACCGATTAGTGGTCAAGTGTTACGGTACTAACGGACGAACACTTGACCACTAAACCCTAAACCCCTATATCCTAAACATCCGAATAACCCAAGCCCTCGAGCCTCCATTCCTCTTGCTTAAGAGTTGGTAATGGTTGAGGCCAACGCCTCGAGCCGACGCCCCTACAAGCATAATGAGCCCCCTAGAGATTTTGCCCTCCTACCTCCTACCCTCGCGGGTTTAGGAGTCTAGGACTTTCGGTTAGGATTTAAGTTTATGAGGTTTAAGCAACCGTAAGCCAAGAAGCGGGTAGGTAAGACTCGTGGCCGTCGCCCCAGCTGCGGCGCCGGCCAGGAATCGAGCTGTTACGTTGTCCACGGCCTTCTGCTATGGTCTCAGGGTCCGTGTTTCCATATAGACAATACTTTGTAGAGAACTCAATATGGGATTTTAGTAGGGGTTCAGGCTTGGCCAAGCAATTCGGGACGTAGGGTCTTGTGAAGGCTGGCTGCGAGGGCCGACTAGAAACATCGGGCTCATAGCAGGTTCGAACGTTTTGGTTTCGGGGTCCGAGGAATGTTATATCATCACGGCTTGATGTTACACTCTGCTTGCGAAGGCTGCTGTCTAAGTACACAGCAGTGCTAAGACTTGTAGATACTTGTAGGGTGCACGAGAAAGAAAGTTCCCCAATATAGAACCTACATTGACCTAACAAAGCGCCAGTGCCTGAGTCCAGCCCGAGACCCTTCAGCCCCCGAACCCAAACCCCAAACCTTACAACTTTAAAGCATCAGCCCAACCCTGAACCCTGACAACTGTAATATGATGAATACGTAAATTAAACCGTTGATGGTATCGCATGCCAAGCAACATGCATCGAAGAGATCCAATGTCTGTACCTCAGATACTGCAACGCGAGGCCCTATCGGCGGTCAGCTGGGTCTAGGGTCCCTGATCCTGTGACCCAGTGGGTTTGGAGTTTAGGGGCTGGAACATTTGAGTCATGCACCGCACCAGAAATGCAGCGACATTCGCTTGAGGATGTCCACAAAAAACACATGTCATTTATATCGTGTGTTTGCCGCAGCAAGGACAAGTTGGGACACCAGAGCTCACCGAACAAGGAAATTTGAGTAGGGAACATGGCTGAAGCATGTTCGATGATACCGAGGCGGGGGAGCCGCCTGTCCTCGTCTAGTGGTCTTGCTAGCCATAAATACATCGCAGAACCTGACTCACTCCGACGATGAAAACGATATGCAGCGTCTGTCGCACTCGTTTTCCTGCTGGCCAGGTTGCTTGTCAAAGGTCATGTAAGTGGTCGCCGACTTGGGCACAACTTGCATCAAAGTGGCCTGGTACTGGGAGGCTTCGCATGTTTGCGATCAATGTTCTACTGCAGGGGCCTTCATAATTAGACTAGGGCTTTGGGGCCCATTATACTCCTATAAAAAAGAAGCCCCCACAACAATAGAGGCAATTATTTAGGCCCCTGTAATAGAGCTGTTGGGCTTCACTTAACCAGAACAGCACCTCGTGCCTGTCAAACCCTTAATTCAGCACGGGAGCTGGTAGCGCATTGTAAATAATAAGGCGACAGAACAGGGCCAAAAGCAACCGTAGTACTGGCCATGCTAGTGTAGCATGGCAATAAAAAAAGAAATATGCCCGAAAATCCCAAGGCTACTGATTCATGCCCCTAAAACATGCAGACCTTGTGCAACCAGAGCAGGAGATTTGGCAGAACAATTCGACAACGACAACACAATCTTGGGGCCTTCATGAGGAGAATGGCTGTACAAGGCCTTAGAAACCATCCTCGGAACCGGAATTCCCTCAGAAAGTGCGGTGCTGCAGGCAGGGGGCACAATGCCCTCGCCAAAGACCGGCCACGCCAGTGTTCCGAAAGATGGTGAGAAACCTTATCTTCAGCTTGAATATATCAAGCAGGCCGACGAAGGGTCTCGGGTTTAAGGGGCTTTGAGTTTATGGATCCCGGTCCGAGGTTTAGGGTTCATAGTGCACGCGATCCTGGCTTGTTGGGGGGGGGGGGGGGGCGGTGGAGCTTGTTTAGCTTGTCCTACGTGCGGTCAGGAGGCTCTTGCGACAAAAGCATGCCGCAGTACGCCAAGACGGGGTCGAAATAAGCCATGGTTGGAGAAGTTGAACCCTTCTACTACTCTTGCCGGGTATAGCAGTAAAGCACTAAATCAACTGCTCAACTGATACACAGCTTCACTGAATCCCCACGGCCACGGCTTTGCAGATGGGCGCTCCATTCAAACTATTCCCTTAAGCCCGAAAAGCCCCAAACCCTGTACCACCGAAACTTTGGACCCCAGCACTCAAAAAGCCAAAGTCGGCCAAGATGCGTTCGTCTCACCTGATCACGCCGGAGATTCAGCTCAAGGCAATGCTGTCTCTTCATGGCTGTGCTACGCAACTTCTGCAGTTTGAACAATAGATTCTGTACTTGAGCTTCTGTAGGTCGAGGCCGAGAGCTTTAAATTTTGTTTCGGTCCGCTCTGGGGTCCCGAGTTGGCAACACTGACTGGGTCTAAGTAAGAGTCTGTCATAAGTTATATAGTAGAAGCCAGGAAGCTGGAACATCAATGTCCTCATGCCCTTAAGGTACAGTAGAGGGAATCCCAGCAGCAATCCTCCTAAAGCCATGTTCCAACTCCTTGCCTTTCACCATAAGCTAGAAGCGCTTAATCTAAGGCTGGCCAGCAATAGCAGCGTTGAAAGCAAAGGTCCGAAATAGTTGAGCGACGGCCTGAACCGTTCCACCCCCGAGAACTCAATGACATCCAAAGCGCAAACATGAACTCTCCTTGTGAGCTCCTATATATGTCTGCGTGTCCAACCTAAAACCCTGAACCCTAAACCCTGTTTTCTGAACCCCAAATAAACCCGAAGCCTGAACACCCTGCATCCCCAATCTGCCGACCGAGCGACCCCCATCCATGTGAAAGAGCGTTGGGAATTCGTTTGGTAAAGGATCCTTGGCACAGACAAGCCTTTACGGGCTAGAGTTTAGATTTCGGGGTGCTTAAAAAGTGTTCTGTACGGCTAGGGTTTCGTAGAGATTGTACAAGGGTTCGGAATAAATAAAGAAGGTCTTTAGGGCTCTTAAGGGACACCCAGAGAGCGCAATACACCGCCCCTAATTTCGAATGCACTAAGCCCAACCGAGAACCCTCAATAACTTGTATATAGCTACCAGTGAGGACAAAGCATCTTCACCCTGTCAGCTGGAGCGATGACGGTCTTGGCAACGGCACCTTGTGGCATAATCTGGCTTAAGCGTGGAAAGGCTGAAGATGTGATCTGTGTCTGACTCCCGGAGCCTACTTCCTGATCTATGCTGTTTGGGCTTTCCGGTGGCAAAGGAGGGGGGCAGTCGGCTTCGTCTCTTTTCTCCATCTGTGGCTGAACCATTGTTGGAGCAGGTAATCTTAAGCGTGCTTGGCATCACACTCACAACATTTGCGCATGGGCTGCTGTGCCATGCGAGAAACTTTTGTGGGGCAATGAACTCAGTACCAGTAGGAGGGCCTTAACCGCACATCTTGATCGAACCCTGTGTGGCTTATAGGTCTTGTGATGTCCTGTTGCATGCATTCTGTGGATGCACGTAAAGGGGGAAAGTGACGGGATGTAAAGCAACCAAGATGTCTAGTCTAGTCAACTGCCTGAACCATTTGAGTGGAAGGACTACGTGAAAGAACGCACCCCCCTATAATGACTATTGAAAACAACACAATGAGCATGCGCATGTTGTCTGACTATATGTATATGTGCATCCCATTGTCTACACGTACAACCAGTGCCACCGAACGACGACGTTCGACGACGACTACTCAGAGAGATGTCCTTGAACGACCGTGAGACACAGTCAGAAGTGAAACCATCGTCATGATCATAGTTTCAACTTGCCAAAGTATGCAAAACAAGGACCAACACACACACACACACACGCACGAGGGTACTACATTCTTCGTTGCGCCTCAGGACGACGACGACGACGACGACGGTATGCGGATGCATCAGGGTACTTCTACGTTCTTGTATTCGCAAGGTTGAAAGTGCTCGAAACCGCATGTCTGGACCAGAGTGCAAAGCTGATCCCATCCGTCGGACCCTGAAACCGTAAACCTTCGATGTGCCAGACCATACAACTATCGCTTACAGTAAGGACTCCCAATACAACCAACTCAAACAGGTTGAGAATGCTTTTGGTGAAGCCTGCCGGCAAACTTTCCGAAGACTTATGTTCCTCTCCACATGCTGTCACAGAAAGCTGAAGCCGGCAGGCAGTTTGATAGTAAGGGGCCTTAATAATGCGAACACAATGTCGGTGAATAGTATATGGGAAACTGGGAAATCGTAAAGAATAAGAACGGTGGTGATTACAGAGGCTGCTGCATTCTCCACCGAGCCCGGCAGATCTGCTAAGGGCGACGCCCGCTGTGCCACCGGATATCAAATGCTCCAGGGGTGTCAATTCTGAGCTGCAAAGGCGGGCTGCATAGTGTTTCTTTTGAATGTTGAAGGCGCGAGGTGTGCTAAGAAGCCCCTTATTTCAGAGATTATGGAGCTGGTACCCAAATTCTAGACACACGCCCAAACCGACTTTGAAACTTCCAGCCACAGTGAATGCGAAGGGCCCAGGCTTCGGGGAGGGTTTGTGGGATGTTGGAGCTTAGCAAACTTGCGACTGGCGGGGTTCGCACCCCGTATCTCTTTGCTGTCTGTACTTCTGTTTATACGTGGGGCTTTGCCAGGTTTGCAGAGTAGGCTGACTGATACCTGAGGCCTGCGACCGTGTACGCGGCACGATGCGTACTGTACGCGACACGGCTTTCGAAGGAATGCCGATCGACTGACAAAATGACAACTGAGCCTGAACCAATGCGACGAACGAGCGCCTTTGCTTTCACATCGAGGTTGCTTTCATGCCGAGCTGCCCAATTTTATCCCTGCCCAAAAAAACCCCGATCCTCTACGAAAAGCCGAAATGACATCCCGACCCTTCCCCCTCTAACATGGCCCAACAACTCCGACACCACATAGCACCGAAATCCCACCACCAAGGGCCAAACTCGGAACCGTACAGACCATTTCAGTCCCCTAGAGACTCTAAGCCCTACAAATACTCCAGTCCTGACAAAAAAACACGTTGAACCCCAACGCCCCATCAATAATGCTGCTTAGGGCATAAGGTGCACGGATAAATTAGTAAGGTGCACGGATTAGTGCAGCTAGAACCTGCAGGGCCCTCCCGCAACAACCTCAAGCTGTCTCATCTAGGGGCCTTAATAATTTCGTTTACGTCTTGGAATATATTGTACTAGAACGGTCATACAGAACCCCGACATAGTATTGGGGCCCCTATATTATGCCCAAGGAGCTCTTCAGTACTTTGCCCGGGTCCCGGACAACCTTGAGTTTCAGGTCGTCGCTTTGCACATTCAGGCTCGGATTCACATGGGTACCCTCATCATTATGGGGCTACTATAACATTTCATGAGTCTAGTATAAATAAACGATGATAGTATTATGCCAACCCTAAACCCTAAATCCTCGAGGTCTGGGTGTTCGCTTGCATCCGGGTCTTGTAATCTAAGCTTCCGACAGCTAGGCCGGGTGGGGGTCCTAGTCCGGGGATCCTGACAGTAAGGATCCTCCATGCAGTGTCTCTACCCTAAGGCTCCAAAGTAATTAGTTCCGTTTTGGGGTTCATATATAGAACCCCAAAAGGTAATCCCAAAAAGGAAATACTATGGGGCCTCTGGGTAGTAGACTTGCTTCTCCATGTGTGAAACACCATTGTTGATGACCGCGCAAATTGGTATAGTTATGCAAAGACTTTCGGAATTCAGGGCCTGAAACACTAAAGTCACAAAAACCCTGAACCCCCGAGCCCTGCAGTTTAGGATCTGTTTCCTTCGAGCCAGGCTTCGCTTCTACAGCCCCCAAGCCTTTCAGTAATTCACACAATGCTGGACAATGCTTGTCCCCAGAAAAGCAAACGTGCCTCACATCAAACCGAAAACCCAATCCGAACGAAGCCTTCAATCTCGACGCCAGAGCGACCCAGAGCCTAAACTAGCAGCTTAAAGACGTTACCCGTAACTTCGATGGCTGGAGGCCTCACAGCCGTCCGGCCATCCACCGGGGGGGCAGCGCTCGGGGTCCTGGTCTGTTGCATTTTGGGACTTGGGGCATCCGGAGGTGGCGAACAGCTTTTTTTGGTGCTTCCTTATCCTGGGCAGGCAGAAAGCGTAATTATTGCCTACTTGGAAGTTTTTTCGGCCAAGTCAGGATTTGGGTTGCCACTTGAAGCTCTAAGGGCTGCGCGATCACGCCTGGAGGCTTGGGAATCGGCCTCTTCTCGCCCATCCTACACTGGGAATAAAGTCTCAAAGGGGAAAAGGAGGGACCCTTAATGGGGACCCCATATAATGGGTTATATAATGGGTACTTATATAATATAGCTATATTAAGGGTACCTAGGGGTCCTTATTAAAGTTTGGGGTTGGGACATCGGGTCCGGACAGTAACTATGTAACACTGTTTCGGCTGCTGTCGATCGTGTTCTCACCCGCCTCCGCAGAACCCAGCAGCAGGCCCTTCAGCAAGTCCTGAGGAAAGAGACTTCAAACTCAACAATAGCTGAACCGCAAGGCAAGCATATCTCAAAATTTTTCCACACCTGTAGTTACTGCCAGTGTAGTTGCCACAGGTGCTTTGCAAGTGTGCTATGTGCATTGGCTCTGAAATCGTGTAGCAAATCACAAAGCCAAGCTCTGCTTAAGTAGCTTATTATGTCTTGAACCTAAACCCTCTCCCTCCAACTCAACGCTACCTTGAATGGGCTTGGAGCTTCGAGCTTTTCTGGAGCTTCGTTTCGGTCACGGTCTTCCCATGCTGGGATGGTGAAAGCGCGGGGTGCAGAGTAACACGGGCCTCCTACCAAGGACAGCAAACTCATCGTAGATTCAGATGGGAAAGAAGAACCTCCATCACATGGCTCATCGATTCGTGGAATACTGAGCTCATCTTATGGGAACTTGAGCTCAACCTGATCATGGATGTGACTGTTTTGGTTTCGGACAGCCCAGCGCGCTTGCCGTAGATCAGAGCTCATACCAGGCTTACTAGACCGGCCACTTGGCAGTCGAGGCACGTTGGCGGCGAATCCACAGGCAGCCGACAGCGGACCCTGCAGGAAGCTCGCTGAACGCCTAATTATGGTCTATAAGCCTAACCTCGCATGTCAACACTTCAGCCCCCTAAACCACCAAACCCTAAGCCGTGCCTGCCTTGTGCGAGTCTGTGAATCGAAGCCCTAAGCAAAGATGGCCTTCACCAGGGTCAGCGAGCAGCCTTTGTAGAGACCACGCCTTGGCTCAGTTCGACGGCTTTGGGGTTCCTGAGCCCCAGGACTGGAGCGTTTACTAGGGGGTGTAAGGGTTGAGGAATAGGACTTTAGGGTTTAAGCTTTACGGCTATCGCTTTGTGAATTCGAGGGTTCCTAGCGGTCTCGGCGCTCACACGGGTTTAGGTGAGGGGCTCAGGTTTTGGCACTGGGCTTCGAGGTCCAAAGGGCCCTCGCACTTTAGGGCTTTGGGGTTGTAGGGCCTTGGGTTTTGCGGGTTGGGGCTATACGTTGAGGGGTCTAGCTTCCACCTATGGAGTAGGAGTCTGAAATACGATATCTCCTCAAAACTGACCCCTAACTTGAGCTAGCATACCAAACCGGACCTTTGGCGGGGTAAAGCAGAGAGGTGGGTAAGGCGCTTTTTTGCTCAAGGAGTCTCCTACCCCTCTACCCCTTACTCCCCTCGGGATCCTATGACTAAACCAAACTCTCACCCTAAATATGTACTCATACTCGCACGCAATACAGCCCTGTCTAAATCCCAAGTCCTTGAACCCTAAATACGTAGGTCGAAGTGGAGGTGGGAGCATCGGGATCATCGCAAAGGCAAAGGAATAACTACCAACCCCTCACATTCAAGCATTCTCGGGGTTGCGGGATGTGGAGCTTTGAAACCCGGAACCCCCTGAACCTCAGAATGGCGGGCCAAGGCTCACGAAACCCTCTGTCCGCACGATAGTGTACAGCGCGTGCAATACCGAGCGGTACCTTCGTCGGCCACAAAGGCAAAGCTGAGTTAGGAGGGCAAATGGCATGCAAGAGGCTTAGGTTTCGGGGTTTGGGGGTTCTTGGTAATTAGGCTATGGTTCAGGTTTTGGTGATTTGGGGCTCAGGGTTTGGAGACTCACCAGATGAGGTCTCTCGGTTCGCAGTCGGGACTAAAATTTGGCAATCTCTGCCCTCAGGTTAGGGTTCAGGGATCAGAGAATGGGGTTCTTTGTTCAGGGAGGCTCAGCAGGGATTTAGTGCTATGGGGCAGAGTGAGTGAAAAGCAACTCAACTCTTGTGGAGCTTTGGGGGTTCCGTCAAGGAGAATTGATCGATCATCATCGGAACACGAGACAAAGATTCCGCGAAGTATTTTGGAGACTGTTGACCTCTTCTTCTCTTCTTTTTGGGGACGCCTGCTTTTTGAATTGTCGCTTCCACCGTCACAAATTCGATGTCCAAGCTGCTGGCTATGCCTGCCCATGCAGGCTTGAACTTGCATCCGTCGACGCACGACCTAAGGCATCAACTGTGGCGAAACGTGCCCCGGAGTCGAGATACCAGAGAAGTACGGTGTGGAACGCTTTCGGGCTTTAGGGCTTCGGAGGGCCTTCCAAGACTTCATGAAGCTTCGCCCTCCCTGAGCATGGTGGTTTCAGAGAGGGTTCTGGATCGTTTGAACGAAAATGTGCTGCTCAGGATCTGCATTCGTGCATTGAGTGTGAAGGCAGCTGAACAAACCCACGCCTTTAAACAACAAAGCTCTGGCGTCAATAGATTAGGAAAAGAAAAGCTCAAGCTGAAACTTGCAGAATGGTACCCACACGACAGGAATGCCACCCATGCCAAGGTCCGATGTTCCGAAATTGTGTTGTCAGGCACGGAGACTTCTTGTTTTGACTTGGGGTAATTAGGAGGTGTGCTCAGGAGTTCGGGTTGAGGCTGTTTCGGGCTCGGACCTTCATGGCTTAGGTCATGCCGGAAACAGCTTATTGAAGTTTAGGCTGAAGCTCCTTGAATGCGTGAGGCCGGCCACCCAGTGTTTAGGAGTTTAGGATTCCAATGATTCCAGTATACTATAATTATGATAAGGAACCCCTCAAAACAGTATAGGCAAGTATTATTCGACTTCTATAGTAGACGAGCTATTTGAGTATTGCCGAGAATTTCTGACCAGCTGGCTACCTTCCTCCGAGTAGTGTTGCTGCAGACAGGAACCTTGTTTCATCGAGCTTACCTCGAATGATGTACAGGCTGAGTGGCATCGCCATTGTCTCCATAGCTGTATATAACTTAGCGGCCCTGATTTTTCGTACTACTCAGGATCCGCACGACGTCTCTTATCTCCTTGAACTTTCATCTGTGCATTTTGCAAGAAGCAAACCGCGAATCACCCAGAACCCCCCAAAAAAAGCCTGATTCCGTCTTGGTTCCTCTTTCATTTTCTTTATGCCGCGGGCTCTGTGGGGACGAGGGCGGGCGGGCGTTTCGCCATCAGTTCATGACCAAAGCCAACATCTGACAGAAGTGCAGGTGTACATGTCGTCAGCATCGAAGAGGCAGCATCAACTTGCAGATCACTATACAAACGCGGCTTCATAGGATTTAGGGAACTCGGGGCCAGGTTCCAAGACTCGACAAGAAGCGTGGAGTGGGTAGGCAGTCAGCTGGGCAACCTTGGCCGCGTCTTGAGGGTTGAGGGATTTGTGATCTTGACTCTGAGGCCTCTACAACCTCAAGTAACACAGGGTTTCCGAGATCTGGCATGAAACCATCCTGTAGATGCAAAGTCCTCTTGGAAGTCGCGGATATGCGAAAAAATGGATCGTGGCAAGCAGTGCTGTGCGAGCCCTGACATCCTAAGACTGCCGACGTGCAAGAAGCTCTCCTGCAGCCCTCCCCTCAACCACACGAGAAGATGCCTATGACATCCATTTCAAAATCGAAACACGTTATTCTTTATGCCCGGGGTTCCCTGAAATGCAGTATAAAACCTAAACAGCAAAATCTCAGGGTGTAGCCTAACCCCAAAAAACTTCAAACTTACCTGCAACCCCGAACCTTACAAAATAGTACGTAGGCTATATGGACTAATTATATTGCGAAGCATTGATTCGTGGGGGGACCTAGAACGAATTCGGGGCACTTATACTCAAAACTGTTTCTGGCCCGAGATTTTGTAAGCTTGGCTCCAAGGGCCTAAAGCCCGAAGGCAAGCTCATCCGCAGAGGCCAGGACATCGATTCTCCAAGGGGGAAAGTCCACCCCAGGCGTACGTAAAGTATGCTTCCTCCGGTGACCCAGCCCGGTCCCGAGCGAAAGCGTATGCGTCGCTTAATCAGTCTTATATAAAGGTAGTTAGAACCTTTGAAAACGTAGGCTAAAGCCCTCAAATAAACCCTATTAACCCTATTACAAGCCCTGAACCCTAAACATCCCCAAAAACTACTAAATCCCTATATAAACCCTCCTGAATTCAAGTTTTCACTCTGAGCCCGAGCAAAGATATCCGAGCAGCGAGGCCAGCCACACCGCCGGCGGCCAAGCGCCACCGGACTGGGAGCTCACCTCTGGGGGCTTGGGCTTGGGCTTCGGTTTAGGGTTTCAGCACTCACACTCGGACGGTTTAGGGTTTGTAGTTTAGGGACCCTTGGGCTTGGGGCTCAGAGGGCTGCTGTTGTGGGTTCATGGGACCTATGCCCAGGGTAGAGTTGAGGCTCTGGCCCACGGAAGATTTTTGGGGATATTTTACTGGTGCCGGAGTGGGTTTAGGACTTGGGGTGGAGTGTTTCATGGGCGCAGTCACGAGGTCGTCTTCAACACCGATCGGACGCTTCAACTACGAGTACGGCTCTGAAGCTCGAGGAATCGAGGATTTAGGGTTTCTGACGTTCATGTGCTACGAGTAGCTTAGCATGTCGATCTCCACTAATCCAATCGGCGTGGGGTGGGTATGTAAGCTGTATGGTCACTAGGTTGCAAAATTATATAAAAGCATATGTGCTTCTGAGGTCGACGGTTCTTCTTGGCAAGGTAGTCCCGAAAATGCTCGGAAAGGATACTGTTCCAGTGTATCGCGGCTTCTATCAATTCTTAGAGATGAGGATTTGGGAGAAACGCTGAGGACAAAGGTTGAACTTATTCAGGTTTCTATTGTTTCTATTTTTCTGAGGCTCTTGAACCCGACATCGAAACCACAAGCAGTACGAAGTTGGGGCAACTCTCAACTCACTTTCCTTAGGCCCAAACGCTCCGAACGAAGCTGCAATGACCTGCAGGGTACAAAACGGATTTGCGGCTCCCGCAGGCCTTCGGTGTGTTTGAAGCTTTCCGGGCTCCGGGGTGTCGGACTTCCCGACTTCCGGGCTCTACATTGCCTAGACTTCAGGACTTCGTGTAACATAGGGGCCTCAATAAGTACCAATAGTATCTTGGGGGGGGGGTCCTTATTATTCTAATTACAAAGGTCCCTACATTAGTGGGCCGGCTTGTTTTCTGTACCCCGGTGTAATGAGCCGAGCCGGTTGATATAAGCAGGGACAACGAAGGGTTGTAGGCTGAAGAATGGTGCAGTATCTACAAACTCTGAACCCTTTGTGCATCCGGGCTGGGACACGGAGGTCCTGGTCGAAACCGTGAATCACCCAGGTTTCCTTCTAGAGCTACCGATTTCCGCTTTCACAGCTTGCAGCGTTAATCATCCCGACTCAAGTCTTGCTTCCGCCGCGACAGCACTACAAATGCCAAACCTGGTAATGTGAAGAGCCGTGAACCGCAGCCCCGCGCCCGAGGTCTTGATGTTCGGAGTGACAAATGCTAGACCCCAAACTTTAAACCCAAAACAAGCCCTAAACAAGAGTTCAGAATAATTCACCAACCCTGCACCATCGATCCGCAAACCTTAGCCGTCTAACTAGATCTCGAAGGGCTATGCACCAAGGTGGGGTATATCCTTCAGCATATTCTAGCTAGTACGTACTTCAGGACCAAGGTATATACTTATGGGTGCACGGACCCGTAGGGGGAAGACACGACCCTTTCGGAACCCAGCGTGCCTTTGCAGCCAAGGCTTTAGGGTCTCAAAGACCATGAAACCTGAGCTGGGTAGGATTCCGTCTCTCACTCTCGCACGCTGGGTAGGATTTAGGGTTCCGAAGGGTTTAGGTTTAGGGACTTAGTATGCGAATTTAGTTTGCTATTAGGAAATCCTTCATAGAATAACAGCCGCAAAAAGGAGAAGGCATATTCGGGGCAAGAAGGTGCTGTTCACGACAGATTGACCACGGTTTCGGCGATAAGGTGCTGTTCAGGACAGAGGGGGTTTTGCAGCCTTACGGTTCCGGTTTGGCCAGGGACACCAAAATTCCAGTGAAAGCAAAGGAACTCTCTCAGAAAGCAAACCTTGTAAGCCATGCGAAAAAATTTCAGAGGAGGGGCTCTGACTTGAAGATGCCCTGTGGTAAACCCCTCTTTTGATGACTCGGGCTTCTGTCGCACCATAGCTGGCACGATGTTGTTCTAGACACTGAAATGTAACCTCAACACAATGGCTGCTCTAAACCCACAAGACCCTCAACCGCTAAACCGTGTGACCTTTAACTCCCATCGTAGTCTCAACGTGCGGCATGCGGCTCGTTCCTGCGTGGGGCACAATCCCCAACCTGGGATTCGTGCGGCTTTCGGTGGGTTTTTGCTCAGGCGCCCTATCGAAGTGGTTTAGGGTTTAGGGTGTAAAAACTGTAGCCTCACCTTAAAGCCACCCTAAACCCTTTCGCCAGAAATACTTTGCTTTGCAAGGCCGCCTTCATATTTGCAATAGGGTGTACATGAAGCTCCTGTAAAGAAGTGGGCTGCCGAGGCTCTGCAAACAAGTGGGCTATCGCCTGTTATCAAATCAAAATCGAAATTGAGATCCAAAACTTTTTTGCATACACTTGTACATGGCTCCTGGATCTCAGAGCTGCTGCACTACCCTCTCTAAACCCTAACAGCGCTGAGCACCATACCCCATAAACCCAATAAGACCCACACTACAATCCCAAAAACAATGCAAGCCCCGAGCGAGGATGAATACCAGGGCCTCAATGGCTAGACAAGGGTGGTGGGGAAGATTGCACTCTGCCGAACACTAAATATTTGGGGAATGCAAAGGAGTATGCTTATGCTGACCACGAGATTGAGCCCAAACATCCACACACGTGTCTGGATGCTGAAACAACACCGCTCTGGAATCCAAACTACACGAGGAATGTGATTTGTGGTGTACATGATATAAAGTGTGCCCCATATCAGTTCATAGGATCCCTTTTGCGAATTCTCGTCTGGTAACAAAGTGGGCCGCAGGCCACGGTAGAGGCCCAACACACCTGCACGCAACGTGCGAAGCTTCTCAGTGCCGCCTAGGGGATAAACTGCACGAATCTGTACCAAGCTTGGCTGCCTCATGTTAAGGTATCGCGATAATTCGAACAAACGCACTCCGAAGTTACATGTAGAAATATTCCTGAGGGAGTCCCATACACTAGAACTCAATATCAATCAACTCCGCCCTTATGACCTTCTGAGCCTCATGGGCCGGTCGAATTAGGGTGCGTTACTATTCAGGTACCAATCCAATCGACAACTGCGATGACGAATCTGGCCGCGGGGACAGGTCCAGCAGCCAAGGAAAATACAATTGGTTTGCAGAGCTTAGGCGCAAGGTAGCCCTAACAAGTTCACCTGAAACTCACGATTCATAACCAACTTGCAAAGTGCCATGGTCCGTCAAGTGAGCAAGAACCCCATAAACCCTTGCTTCAAAAGTCAGATGCAGGCACAACTTCCAATGACTAAGGGCCACTTTCGCATTGTTTGCGCTTTGATGTTCTTTCTAGCAGTTGACACACCCTCCAATTCCCATGTAAGCCCTAACTAAGCCATGATCGCGAGGCGCATGTCTCGTTTCGAGTTTATAATAACAGGGCATTGACTGCTTCGAACCCGTTTGCCAACAGAAAACACCGGCGCGGCGGCTCTTTTGCCTCGGCCCTATTGTCCGTAGGTCGACTCGGATGTATGAGTCCTTTGGGTGAGTAAGGTGCCAGGACTAAGTGGAATCCTAAAAGAGATGTGCAGATGGTTTGGGTTGGGGGGATTCCCTACAATATGATCCCTGCCTGCTCAAGTTTAAGTTGCTAAATCCCCCTTCCGCTTCGTATGATGTCCGCAAGACGTGGCTTAGTGACGGGGCCACGGCAACAGGGCTGGTGGCAGAGCCTCACGTGAAGCTATCATAACCTATTGTTTGCAGGTCTTCAGAATAAACCTTGAGTCTAGTATCAAATGTCTGGAAAATGCAGGTGGTTCTGGTAGTTCAAGGTAGGTCTTGGGCCCGAGAGCTTTCAGGAGTATGACATAGGTTTTATGAGAACTCCAAGGCTGACATTCAGGTGGTGGAGACATGGGTCCAAGGCACCAGATTGAAATTTCAGACGCCGGTTGGAGTGGTCTGGTCTCGGTCTGTGCCTGGGCATTGCCAGGCACCTGGGAACTCCGACGGACACTGGGGAACGATCAGGCTCAAGAGGAATCCAAAACCCTATCCTCGGATTCGGCCCAATTTGGGAGTTTCCGAAAATAGGGGACCCTAATTTAATATAGTACCCTAGGTAGTAGGATCCTTATTATAAGGACCCCCAAATAAGGTACCCCCCCATTTTCGGAAAAGCCCATTTGTCGTGCTTCAAACCCTCGGGCCTAGGGCTTGCGGAGATCTACCTAGAGGCTCCATAGTAGTTCCGTTTTGGGGTTCGTATTTAGAATCCTATAAGGTAATCCCAAAAAGGAACTACTTTGGAGCCTTTGGGTAGGCATAAAGAAGGGAGGGTTTTACTTTGCATGGTTTCAGGTTAGGGTTGAGGTTTACAGAGCTAAAGTATCGCCTTGGCACCCGGGACAAAAACGTATTCGGATGACGCCTCCCTACCTGTCGGGTATCATGGAGAACTGAAGGTTAACCTTGTTGGTTATATAGTGATGATAGAGGGACTATACTACTCAAAAAAGGCTAAAGGTTACCTACTCTACTACTGGGCTTCTGAAGGCATGGAACCACCTTCTCCCCATGTCGCGCACGACCACCCAGCTGCTCATGCATGCGAATTGGTATACACGCGGCCAGCATAAGGCGGAACCTGTGGTTGCGGAACAAAAGAAATAAACCTTCGTCTCAAACTCACAAGTTTCACCCACATTTCAGAATATCAGGCCTATAGAGCCGGTATAGAGCCCCGAGAAAGGCTTCGGCTCCAGGCAGTCATCGTGACAGCAGTGTTGCTATGCCAATGCAGTTCTGATGCGGTTAGGGCTCTGGTTCAGGGTTTAGGGTTTAGGGGGAGATCGCCTTGTCCCTAGAGGGTTGGGAAGACAGACAGCACAGATCAATCAAACGAGCACCACGGAACCTGTATAAGGTTTGCGATGTTTACTTACTTCGCTGCAGCAGGATTACGCGAACTACCAACTGCAGGTGTAGTTGCTATTCTGGCAGGGCTTCAGCACAGAACCTGAAGAACGGCAAGCCCTTCGGCCCCAAACCACTTCGCAGACCTCACCACAGGCTTCGCACCGCGCCCTTCCCGAGTTTCGGGTCATCGCCTCATCTTACACCTGCGACATGGGGAGATGTTTCTGAATTGGCGATGTTGAACTAGGGCTGCGAGCAATCAGAGAAGCACAGAAGCTCGCATAAGCAACAAGTTTCTTTGGATTTCAGGATATTCGCTTCAGGCTTTTGCGATTTGAAAGGACATTTAAAAGTCAATTTGTCAGGGTTTCCAAAGGGCTCAGTGCTTTGGTTGCAGAGTCTGCGCCGAGAAAGATGAGGGGCAAGCCTGTTTGGGCACCTTACTGTAATTATGAACAGAATGTACTATGATTTCTTGACGTCTCTATGTCTATATCCATAGATGGGCTTGGGGAATAAGGCCTAGGAGTTTATAAAGCACTTGTGCCAAGCCCACAGAAGGGCACTCCAAAGCTTGAGGAGTCGAGATGGGTGATAGGGTTGGGGGTGGCGAAAGTGCAGGATTTTGGGCTGTAGGGCTCTTCATGAAGGCTTCCAGTCCAACCGCTGAAACAGGACTCTGAACCCTTGAATTCGCACCAATCGTCAGAAAGCCCCGTCTAACTGATACTACCCAAAACCCTACGCTGCCCAACCTTTGTGTTCCAAGTCCACTCAAGTCACGCTTGAATAACGGCAGCAGCCCCCGCCGAACCCCCCCCCCCCCCCCTCCAAACAGGCAAAAAGATATCTACTCAAGGCCCACAGATTGCCTCCCCGGCTGCTGGGCAGGCTTGGCTCGTCAGGACCACTGCCACGTTGTAGGGCTTGGCCATGGTGATGATGAGATTGTCCTGCAGGACGTGAGGTTGAATCGAAGAGGCAACCTTCAAACCTAAACCTCTAAACCCCATAAGATTGTCCTGACGAAGGGCATGGGGTTTAAGAAGCTCTGTCTTGTTCAGAGTCTGCTTGAGGGGCCTGGTCCGGGCAGTATTCAACGGAGTAGTCGTACTTGGCCAAGCCACCTGGGTGTTGAAGCATTGAAAGGTCTGAGCAGGAGGGTTTGAGCACCTAAAGCTACAACAACACTGTCTCAGAGCTCAAGGTGTAAGTATGATGCTCACACTGGCGCAAGGCAGGCAGTGCAATGTTTAGGTTGGGGATTGGGAATTGGGGTGGTGGAGCTTTGAAGACCCCCCAGATTGGCTCGGCCGGGTAAAGATACGTGCAGCTCCCGGGCAGCGGGTAGCTAATATCCTCGGAAGCTGCGTTGTGTCTTTTGCGGTTACGCACTCACAGAGGTGATCGGCATTATTGCATCTAGTTTTCGTGTGTGGCCAGAGAGTGCTGTCAAAGCCCCATGAAATAGCCCTACTCACTTCCACGTAGATGCTGAAAAAGCAGATGCAAGCGGGAAGCAGCCGTTGTCGTTTTCGATGGTGATGACCTTGGACTTTCTTTGCGCATCAGGGCTATGAGATCCTTGCAAGAAGAAAGGCACCGCACGTAATTATAGGACCCCCAAAGCGGTAAGCATAAAAAACGTAAGCCCCAAGCCCTTCTTTGCTGCAGCCGGGTCATTATCGTCCGGAGCTCAAAAATACCACTCGACTCGACTCGACGAAACGCTAAACCCCGAAAGCCCCAAACAGAAATCCCCTAGAATCTGTCAGCCCGCACAGAACCCGAATGGAGACCCAACTATACGAGCTGGGCACCAGGCAGAAATGCCTTATAAATCCTCCAAAAATCCTCCCTCAATGCATAAGCCCTATAACAACTATACACCTAAACCCTAAGCCCATCTAAGCCCCAAGCCCCAAACCCCTCAACCTTAAAGCCCTAAACCCTTAAACCCTACAGCACCCGAATGGACACCCGGCCCGGCTATCTTACTTTTGGTTAGTAGGGAATGGAGGAATGGGGTACAAGTATAACTACTATTACTACCATCCTAAACCCTACTAACCAAAGGTAAGTTATAGGATTCTTAAGGCCCCTATATTATAGTACCCTTATAGATCCCTTATAGTAACCCTTATAGACTACCATTCTTCCTAAACCCTAAACTAACCAAAGGTCAGCTATGCGAGCTTCGCTGCGTTCTGGTTGTTCTCGAAGTTAGCGCCTTCGCACTCGCCGGCTTGTGGGCCCACAGCCTGGGGTTCCGTTCTCGTAGACTTTGGTCTAAAAGCTAGGGTCGTTTATAGAGAGAGAGATATATATATATACATACATATATATATATATATATGTATATATATATATATGTATATAAATATACTATGGTACATGACAAATGTTACTATAGTATCTTCTACTATAGTAAAATGTAATATAGTATATTATACTCACAGTCTAGTATTCTGTACCTAATACTTTTCAAAGGGAGGCTGAGATTGAAAGGCGGTTCTGCCGTCTGCAGGTGGGTACGGTCTAGGGAGGGTTGTGGGGCTTAGGGTTTAAGGCTCCCAAAGCTTAAAAGGCTGAGTATAAGGATGAGGAAGATATCATGGCGCCCTACATACCCTGAAAGCTAATGACTGTTATCATATACCGCCTCTTTTTTGCTATCCAAGCCATATTGGGTTTTGCCTGGGACTTAGAGAAGCAATAGTTCCAGCAGGAGAGACCAAGCTTGGGTACAGGGTTTGCGGCGAAAGGAGTTAAGTAAGGCATATAGCACAGGGTTTTGACAAGGTTGAAAGCTTGTGTCGTGGGCTTCGACGATTCTTAGTTGATCGTAGTTGCCGTCTGGAGGCTTCTGAGTCTCACTGAGAGGTCTACGTACAAGTGCGCATGTCTATTGCCGCCATACTTCAGGCAGAAGCCCTGATTCTTTTGTCAGTATATTCATTACACCTCCAAAATCGAAAATAATTGGTGCCGGACCCTGACTGATGTACACCAAAGAGTATGGGGATCCTCCAGACAACCCTCGTAAGTCTGGGTCCACATTACCTTGCCCCTCCTTGCCCTCAACCCCAAGCCCTAAACTCTGAAGGCCGCTCCCTGCATTTCTATCGGCCTTCATGTCGACGATGCCAACCTCGCCATCGTGGCTCACAACGTGGATGGAGAACGTCTCCGTCAAGAGCGACCCACCGTAGCACACCTGGAAAAGCTAGGGTTCAGGGGTGCCCGTGCTTCAAAGGAGCAGGGACCCCAACCCACGATGCAACGACTCCAAACGCGACTTGCAGCTCCAACTGCCTCCGAGTGATGAACGCTAAATGCTACCCGGTAGCTAGTTGAGGGTTCAAGCGTGCTCTTGCAGTGATTCGGGCTACGCTCAATTCTAGAATCTAGAAGGGTTCACAGGTACTCGTGGTGGTGTTGGAAACCTCTGGCTGGAAGCAGCAATTGGTGCAGGTCAGCCTACATCTTGTAATTACCGTAGAGCTACCGTAATTCTAGGATGATGACATGGGGACTGGGGGTTGTAGGAGGATGTTACGATTCAGTATTTTCTGCGAACCCCCAGATCATGGAAAGTTCATCCGGCCATTGGGTTACCGGAAGTTGCTCTAAGGCACCCAATCATCGACCACATTTTCGGCCGGTAAACTTTTCTATCTATCATTACTTTGCACATTTGCCCTGAGTGCCGAGGGAGGGCGCTCCGCAAAAAATTAGAGTCTATTGCTCAGTGTGCTCGTAACTTGAGTGGCCGATTACACTGATCACGGCGTTCAGCTTTGATTACACCCAAACCCAAACCCTGCACCCGCACGGATATGATAAGCTTCAACCACGAGCGCGTAAACAAACAGAACACGATAAAGCACCGGCGAGAGACAGGACCACCTTGAGTTATTAGATTTCAACCGCTAAGGGTCCAAGTGCCTAATTAACCGGCATGTGCTCAAACAACCGATGACTGGCTTCTTTCCTTTCCCTAAGCCCTATAAACCATCACCGAGTTCCTCGGGACATAAGAAAAACGCCCCATGCTGACCAGTAGCAGGTCCAGCTGGGAGGCTGCCAGAACCGGTGCACACGAGTGCGCCTCAGGGCGTCAGACCCCTGTATTGGTGTCAGGATGATGTCTGTCTACGGCCTCGGTTGATAGAAGAGTCTTAAATTATTTGCAAGGTCCAAATAAAAGGGGCTTTGGCTTTAGGGTTCAGGTGTGTGAATACAAATATAAACGTTAGACCCCGAATCACAACGACAACAACCCCGGACAAAAAAGTCACGCCCTAAACAAACAGAAACGCAAACCTACACAATTTATGTGCTACCTGCTGCTGCCGCAAACCATACGCCCCCGATCCAAGAAAGCCTCGGACCTTCAATCCTGAGCCCCATACTATCTCGCCAAGTCCAGGAAAGCATGAAAAGACTTGAGAAAGCATGGCGCTGCCACGGAGTGCCGCCTCGCTTGCTGCAAGCCTTCGTTGAATTGTTCCAACCATTGGGATAATCTTGGGGGGGTTCCGGGGTTACGATATACTTGCTATGGTAATGGATCTCCACATAAACGGCGACATGACACATCAGCTTGTAGGCTTAGACTTCGATTATGGAATCATGGATTGACCGATCCGTGTTCCCGAAGACCATGCTGCAGCTGGGTTTTGGCCGATTCTGATTTTCGGGGACATGCTGAACTGGCGTTAGGGGTTTCGCGGTTTTGGACTTCAGGGTAGACTCGCAACATGAACGAAATCGAACCTGGGAGTGAGAAAAACCTCAATGAAGAATCGGGACAATATGCAAGTTGTGCTAGCGTGTCCCGACACGAGGGAGTCGGAAGGGAATTCTACAGGAACAGAAACAATAAGTAGCCGCAAGCACTGCTACAAAACCCCACCGAATGTCTTATCACAACTGCATACCAAACACAGAGAACGTAAATCGAAGAAGGGTTGGCGCTTTCGCTTCTAGAGTGAATGTTCTGTAAAGCCTGCCACGCGACGGAACAAAACAACTGCGCAAAAGTCAACACTCCCAACGGTCCAGCTTTGCTGTCTCTGCAAAGACACCCTGCAACGGTGGCGAGGATCAAGCTGCGGAAAGCCATTGCTTCAAGCGAGCCTCGGGCTGCTGGTCTTTTATTGAGGAATATGTCACTGTCTATGATTTTGGGAGCTGCTCCCAACCGGCTTCGTCCTTGTAACTTGCAGCTTTATCCTACAGGCCATGTCAAGAATCACGTAGTATACATACTACATGATGAACTATAGCAGCAAGGGTTCTGATGATTCCCAAGCTACCCGGGGCAGCACCAAAAGAGAGTGCAACAGTCTGTGGAATGCCCGCGGCATCCCCGACCCTTAAATCAAATTAAATCTTGCTACACCCCAGCCCCGACCTGTAGAAGCTTCGAGGTTTGAGCTTGCGAACGTGTTGTCCTTCGCCAATCGATCCCTAAACCTGAAACCCTTGGTTCTAACTGTAACTTGCAGTAGTAGCTCTGCAACTTCGACCCTAAACCTTAAACATAAGAACAATCCCTCAAGGCTCCATCCAAAATAGCTGGGCCTCTGCGAGGTTGTGTCAGTTTACACGGACCGAAGGTGCATGCTTCGGAAATGAGGCAAACTTGCTGCAAAACTGACATTGGTTAAGTGTGCCCCAAAGCTATGCAATGTTGCTTGTTTCGGCTTCGAGATGGTTTCTCAAGACTCTGCAAGCCCTGACCCTGAGCGGCCGGCAATCCAAAAACCAGATAGCAAGAAAGCAAATTATGAAGAAGGCCAGGAAGCAACAAAGAAAAGCAGATGGTTGCGCGAATGCCGGGCCGGGCGGATGATCCCAAAAGTGCTTCGGACATTTAGGGCAATCAGGAGAGTTGCTTAGGGGTTGAGTTGCATCATCATAATTGTCTACTGGTTGGAAGGTATAGTTTCCGAAGCCTTTTGTCGGAGGGACCTTGGCATTTACTATTACGAAGAATTAGATTTTGGTGACCATAGTGTATAAATATATGGAAACGATGAAAGTCTACTGCTGCACCTGCGTCAGAACCTGACAGATTGCGCTGGATTTCCCAAATCGAACGGGCAGGGAAGCCCCTCGACAACGATCTATCGATAACGAACTTAGTACAACTACGACAACTATATGAAATAAGTTGAAGATGATGGTGCTGGTGAGGATGACGATGCTGAACATGACGTTTGAGACTTAATTTAAGATGGTGATTAACGGTATACTGTCGAGTAAGTCCTTGCAAGGAGCCCGTCGAGCACGTGTGATGCGAATCTGTTACTTAGCAGCAACGATGCGACCCGATGTCATTCATCTTTTTCCTTCCCTTCTATACGAACTGCATAATGAACCCTTTTGGCCTATGATACAAGATTGCTTTACATAAGTCATTGGGTTTACGTATACGGAAACAAGGATGCACAAGTCTTCCAATGGAAAAACGCGAATCATTCAAGCCAAGGCCTCCTGCATGTGGTTTGTGGGTGGTTTGGCCCCTCACGGTGAATCAGGATTCTGGCTTCCGGCTCTTCTTCGGCGCGTTGGCTTCTTTTCCGCCACAACATTGGCGCTATAGCACCACCACTGCACAAAATTGTGGGCTTGGGGTCTTCAACTCCGGCTTTGCTCTACGTGTTAGCCGCTGTGAGAAGAGCATAGCGATTCCAAGGGCATATGAATTTCAGCTTTTGGTTACAGGGCGTGGGTGCATGTGCAAGCACTCGATCAAGGTTTATGTGCGAGGGACGGGTTGCGGTGCGGGCGTGACAACAGCCAGGAAGCATCCATTTTCGACTGCGCTTGGTGACACCTCTCACCCAGCCTTCTTGGAGGCTCTGGAAAAATGCATGCTAGAACATGCGTCGCCCCTCAGGGACTGTGGCGAGGCCCCAGTCCCGCTTCAGCCACATGCTTCGGCCTAGGTCGTTACGGCTTATCTAGGACCAGGATCCGCTTCACGTTTCGAGTTTTGGCCATCTGACAGCACTCTCGGATTGCTCCGCATATTCCGGATTAGCCGCTTGGTGCGCGGCCTGGCCCCCTCTGCACACCCTTCTGCGATGGCAGAAGAGGCACACCTGCCATGCACACCAGGTTAGACGTCACAAGGTTTTGCAACCTCGTGCAGCTGAGGTTTCAAAGCTTCGCTTGCAAGTCGAGGATTGGATTCTGCATCTAAGGATGAGTTTCGGCTTGATGGATTGTGGCTCGCGGTCGGCCAGGTACTGGCATACGGGTGCGTTCGCCAAAGCCTTTAAGGTTGGAGGCCGAACATCAACATACGTTTAAAAAGTTAGCAAAGCAGCGCAATACTTGCGAACCCCCCAGACAAGCTCAACACTAAACACCATTATAACGAACTGTAGACCCCAAGCCCACGCCCAGCCAACACTGCACCAGGTAATTAAACTCGAAAAGTGGGCCACACCTCAAACCCCGTAAGGCCATAATTAAACCAGAAACCGCGAAACCACAAGCCTCAATCCCTGAAAGCCCACTATACCAAAACTCCAAACAGCACAATCCCATCTGCAGGGCGACAGGAACCTTCGGGTGGAGCGCTCGCATTGTCTGCCATCAGGAGCTCTGTCTTTTAGCTTCACCTAAACCCCCAAAGTAGGTAAACTTATGGCCCAGTACCCATAAAAGGCTATTATTCTACATACTTTTGGGGTCCAGGCAGGTTTAGTCAAGGCTTCACGCTCTCGTACTCCGACATGCCTCGACTAATCAGGGCTTTAGGGTTTGGGGTTTCGGGTGAATTAGCCGTCGGAAGGGGCTTAGAAGGCTGGTATAGGTTGTACAGGGTTTGGGAGGTTGCACATGGGGCTTCTGGACATTTAATACTCTACGCGCATCACCGCAAAAGTTGACACTTTAATTTAAAGGCTTCGCTGATCCAGGCCCAAGGTTTCGGAGAGCGGCGTCATGTTCATTAGCATGGGCGGATGCCTGAGGGCAAAACATGTGCATGTCGAGGCGTGGTACCATGAAAGGTCTGATGAAGATGCGACAGCCGTGCAGTCCAGTCTTTAGAATTGACATATCCCTGTCAATGGTGGGTTGCTGCTCCTTAAACCGTACGAAAGTTACGAAAGCCTTATTCGAAGCCATATCCCAGTAACTTCATAACCACTATTCCGGCAAGTGGGCTTCTGGGGGAATATGAGGCTTCGAGCGGCTGTCCCCTTGTCTGTCAAGAGGCGGCTTCATGCACTCCCCGAGGAGATCGGCGAGAGCCTGGCCCCAGTCGAAGTTGCAGGGTTTAGGGTTCGGTGTCTGGGGTTTCGGGTTTGATCAGGGCTCCTACTTGAGCCATCTCCAAAGGAAGCAGATGATCAAACTCACATCAGAATTAAGTAAGGCAGCGACAGCTACAGGCCGCAAGCTGCATCGGCCTACCAAACCCATAAACGCGTACTCCCACACACTGAACGTTACATCAAACCCACGTATCCAACTATATAAGTCCCAAAGGGTCCAAGTCCAAGTATCATCATGGCATAAGTGGACCCCCAAAATGCCCTATAAGTAAATACCAGAATGATACTTGGACCCTTTGGGAGTTGTAAGCATGGCAGCGACTTGCTATATCGCCAGGTGCTCGGTGCTTGTTACCCGAAGGCCCCAAAGTAGTTCCTTTTGGGGGTTCGTATATAGAATCCTATAAGGTAATCCCAAAAAAGAACTACTTTGGGGCCTATGGGTAACCCTCAGACCGAAGTTGGCACTCAGAAGCTGGATCCCCAGGTCGCCACCAGCAACAAAACGCGCACACCCCGTACTCTTCTGGCTGTCGGCGTGGGAGTATCCGAAAATAGGGGTACCTGATTTTGGGGCCCTTATAATAAGGATCCTAATGTTTAGGGTACTATATTAGGACATTGAAAAGCTGCCAATTTCCAAACAACCGTCTGATCTGGGCTGACAGAAATGCGAACCTAGTCCCCTTGGTCTGAAAACGCCGGTCGACTTCGGGGGTCTGAAGGTTTAGAGCTTCGGGATAACATAAGGGGCCTTAATAACCAGAATTTCCCTGTGCTGGACTGTAGACTGTACAGTAGACCCCAAGTCTCTGAACCAGACATCTATGCCCAAGCGGTCCTGGAACTGCACCGGGGAAGCGAAAGTTCCTGTGGTCGTGGTCTCAGAAAGCTAAACCAGTGAAGCCTAAAAGAAGGAGCAACTTTCAAGATGATCCTGAACCTGAAGCCCTACGTCCCAAACCACCACTTCTGGCTGCTGTAACCCGACATCCTCCATCGACTATCTGTCAGGTTTGGGGAAATCACTACGGAACTAAGACCATTTCGTAGCCACTTCGTGGCCATTCAGCTGAGCGACTAACCACAAGCAGGAACGAACAGAAACCGAAAATCGGTACTGGATAGGGTTGGAACCAGTGGGCCAGGGGGATCGGGGTTTAGGCTTGTGGGGGTGTTTGTTAGTCGGTTTGCGATCGATTGAAGTCTACACCCTCAGCAGGCCGAACACATTGAATCCTAAACTGCATATAGAGCGCAAGAACCTGAACCCCTACAAGCTAAACGCAGGACGTGTAGCCAAATGATGGAACTCTTGGCTGTCGGATCAGGGTGCTACAAGGGCCTTTAAAGACATACATATACATGTACATGTACATGTATACATATACATATAAATACATTTACAGATAGATGTATGCATTCTTATGTGACTGTGCAGAGGCTGCAAGGAAATACTACTATTTTCCAACCCCCACAATATACTGGGAAGACAAGGAGGGCCTCGGAGATCAAACCAAGAGCCTTCCATGCTTACTCCAAAGGGTCCAAGTACCAACTGTTACAGAGATTCTGAGGTCAAAGAGACATGTAGACTATATGGCGACCAACTGTTACAGAGATTCTGAGGTCAAAGAGACATGTAGATTATATTGCTACCCGGAGCTAGAGCTCTCGGAGCAGCAGATTTGGAGAAGCAGCACAACGTGATTCACGATGCAAATCGGATCGGAGACCCAAGCTCAAGATGCCTGAGACTCAAAATGAACCAGTGGATGCAAAACGTAATTTGATGGCCCTTTGTGTTTTTTGCGGTTTGGGGCTTTTGGTAAACGGCAGAACCCTATATCCATCCTCGTCCTAGAAGCCCATACTGCTATACCACACATGTATTATAGACCCTAAAGCCCTAAAGCCCTCCCGTCAAACCACTGAGAAACTCTGAAGCGCTCCTGGCAACCCGAAGCAGTAGAACGCTTATTCTACGAACCCTGAACCAAGCCCTTTTGCACGCCTTGGATCTCCCTCTGCCCAAACCTTGAATTTCTGAAAGAAAGGATCGTTGCGTGAGTGATGCATGGGATAGAAACAGAAAGTCGGTTGTACCGAACTAACCCCCACTACCCAAGACTTAAGCCCAAAGCCCCATATCCTAAACCATATCCTTGCCCACACCCTAAGCCTCAACCCTAAGCCTGAAACCCCCAAATCGGAGTTTCGTCGGCCTCCCAAACCACGACGTCCGCCAGCCGGCGCGGAGAAGGGCATCGTTCTCGCTCCTTGGGTTCGAGGAAGGAAGTCCTAATGGCTCTTACGAGCCTCATGGGGCTTTCATACGAGTTTTCAAGGATCTTATGAGTCGAAGGGTGTTCATAAGAGTTTTTAAGGATCGATCTTGTAAGGGCTCATGAGAGTGTCATGTTTCTAGGCTTTTGCAAGAGCTTCTGCTTGCAGGCGTGCTTTGCAGTTCCATTTATAGAAAGGCTTCATAAGACCTATGAGGGTCTGGAAGGCTTGCAAAGGCTGATAGCATAGTACTACAGCGTTTTAAGCTGTTTCGCCACGAAACCTTGGCTTCCCGGCGTCGAGGAGCAGGCCCAGCAGCGTGCGCGCAATGCCCAGCCGCGAGGATGAACCCGAAATGCAGTTATAATGTTAGGGGCCCTAATAATTCGAGTAGGGTTTTGGGGTATATTGAACTATAGACAAGTATAATAGGGAACCCAATTTATGACTTCGGGCGGGGTAGGGCTTTGTGGTCTTCTTACACAGGCAATGGAAAACACGGGTTTTCATAGAAACGGATAAAGAAAGCTTCTTGAGATTGCCCGCTTGGCTGCTACTCAACCTGGCTTTCGTGAACAGAACAACCGGAGATTTCTGGACCCTATCGGACAAGGCCTTGAATCATTAATGCCCATAGAAATCCTCAACGGTCATTAGCCGTAGCAGCCGCTACTGAAAACATGACCCCAAACCCGAAAGCATCCGAACACCCTAAACCCGATTTCGGGAACAGGAGAGCAGTCAACTCAAGGTCCAAGAGGCTTAGGAGCTTACTTCACTGAACAGATAAAGCATGTCATGCAACGGATCATTAAACTGCGTTTCTAATTTGCCTCGGTTCCAGCTTCGAACCAGAGTCAATGAGTGAATAATTTCAACTCGTACTGCCTGGGGTCTGGATTTCGGTTGTTGTCATCATTATGGGGTCTGAGCAGCAATGAAGGTATGCCGTTGAAAAGGACAAGCCGGAGGCCGGACAAGTGAAAGCAGCTGCACCTTCATTCCGCACGATGTCTTCGGCCGCCGATGTGTAGGACGAGTGTGGCATCCGTTCCCAAAGAGACCTCCGAGGGCGAGGCTTTACTTTTCATTACAACTAACTGCACTACATTCACTACGTTGCCATCTTATGTGAAGTGAGTGATGTGTTTAAACTAAAAGGAAACAAACAAATGAAGTGAAACGTAATGCGTGTTGTTTCTCTTGTAATTGAAACACACACTCATTATCAGACGGTTTTGAGGAGTCTTCATGCCATAGCTCATATATACATATGCATGAATATATACACGGATACATAGAGACCAATCTTCAAGGGTGCTACTATTAATATACATTAATATAGTTCTTCCGGCCCCTATAGTTTGCCGGCGGCCCGTGATCTTCAATCCTGCCCGAACCTTTGCCCACAGCCGAATATGACGTGGTCGGGTCGACTCAAGAATGCAGTGCGGGCACGTGTTCTGACGGCCAAGTTGCGTCATACTGATCGCCATTTGGGCACGGAGGAGATCCTGGGTGGTATCATATAGGAGTCTTATAGTGATCGTAATGGGGTTTTGGCGTATAGGCCCTGCGAGATAAGATTGTTACCAACTCAGGTTGTTTGCCCGACTTCTGATTCCAAGGGCATTTGCAAAACTGAATTGCGCGAGGCAATCCCTGAACCGCAAACCCTACATGGGGCGTGTATAGAAGGTATAGGTATAGGGTCTGAGTCCAGCGCTGGTCTCCGAGAATGGCAAGCGGCAAACTCCAACACCCTTGACATGTGGTCTAAGGGGCTTCTATTCCGAAACAGAGGGGCTCATATAATATGGCATAGTCGGGATGGAGAACTTGGGGTTTGGTGTTTGGTCTTTTCATGCAAAACCTTAAACCAAAACATAGATATCAAGACAAGAGTAGGCATGCTCCTCTAAGGGTCCCATCGTTAGACGAATCTCTCTGAGCCAGCAAGAAACTCAAGCCCGAAATCTCTGAATGAGGCTATAAACCCCATAAGCCTAAGCACAAATTCCTATTGATTAACAACCGCTAAACTCGACATTAACCCTACAGGCAGAGTTTGCGCACGTATTGTGCTGCAACCATCTTCTATCTATCTATCTTTCTATATATATATATATATATACATGTACATATATATGTATACATGGACTACACAAGGATAAAGTTACCAAGAATTGAGCCTCCCACTCCGAGAATAAGAGATTAGTCCAGGACCCTTAGAACGAAAAATGATCAACAGGTGTGCGAGCACAGCATGCATCGGACTAGCATCTCATCCGCAGCCTCGAGCACTCACAGGCTGACATCCTCTTGTAACGAGGGAACTGCACCAAGTGCTGGCAAGCTTCCAAGGGATACCTGGGATAGTGTTTGATGCAGTCATGACATACCGGCTCTGTGTCCGCCTTTATTACTCAACCTCGACATTCACCTTCGTGTCTTGGACAGCTGAACCCAAAACTCTGAGGGTCTGACTACCACTATTGCAACAGAGCTGTTGGCCCTATTTGGTAATGCGACATAATTACTGTACTCTGACAGTTTGGGTAACCCACGAACTCGGAGCCTAAACCCTAAAACCCTAATCCTAAACCGTTAACCCTAAAACCCTAAACCCTCCATTGTGGCGTCACGTCACGTGAGCGTCGTCGCTGTCGCGCCCGCGAGGGCTCCAGCAGCGAAGCGCACGGCCCAAGGCCTTCAGTGTAGTGCTCAGGGTTTATTTAAGGTGTAAGTCAGGTTTAGGGTTTGGGGTGTAGGATTTAGTTGCTTCGTGTTGGAGCCTTACTAGCAGCACTCAACAATAGGATTTGGAGATGTGTCATGACATACTGCAGGGGTTACGTGAATTCTGTAGCTGTTGAGGCCATTGTTGTGGTTCATGCTATGCTCTTACACCGGACTAGCCCAGGGAGGAGCAATTAATCTCGTACGAAGCTTGTCCAGCCCACCCCAACATGCCCGAAATGCAAAAATCAGAGACGGAGCAGAGCTGAGTCGGTGAACTACAGACAGACACCAACTCGCAAAAAAACAACACCGACATCGACAGCTCCAAAGCACTGGTTTGGGGTACAAGACTTAACGTAGACGCCTGATTCAAGAAGCCCATCCACCTATCACAGTAGGATCCTGACATCAGGGCACCTCAAGAAAGGAGGTCTATTCGTCAGCGGTCTACATTACTCCGGTACTACAGCTACTGTACATATTTTAATTGTCTATGCAGGTCTGAGACCTCTCAAAACTTGACCTCCCTGAGGCCTTGGAAGAAAAGCACATAAAAGCACGCAGGGTCCAAACCCAGACTGCCCAAACCTTACAACGAAAGAACACAAGACCCCACACCTCCAGATCCCAAAAAGCCGTCCTGAAGCCCTTAAAACCATCTGGAACCCAAGAGCCTTTGGGAATCTCGAGGAATCGCCTCCACGAGGAATTGCTGATACCTTTGCCGATGCAAACTGCAGGCTTGTTTCGGATGCTACTGCTCAGGCGTTTAGATTTTCATGTCGTGGAACCCTTCTTGCTTCTCTCTGCCTTGGGTGTGCCGAGAGGGCAGGGAGTCTCCATCACCTCCCACTTTTCACTGCCGGTGAACCAAGGCATATTCCTCATGTTGCCTTCTTCCAAACCCTCCACAGCCCTCTTAAAGCTGTGTTCGATCAGGGAGCCAGCAGAAATAAATGGGAGCTTCGCTAACCGCCCTGAGAAAAGCCCTAGGACGTAGAGCCCTCCATATCACGATCCCGAACTCAATCTGGATAGGGACACCTGCTTCTTGAAATTGACTGTCAAAGCCCAAGCAATTTTGGGAAATGCGATTATTTTCTGCCATCGCCCGGAGCTGTCTCAATGCACTTTCTGTGAGAAGCGAGAAGTCTCGGAGTGAACAAGGGATCCTTTAGGATCTCAAGGGTCTGGACAGTAGTGGTGGCTCCTGCAGTACGTACTAGCCGCGAGGGTGGCAGATTACCGATAATGGCAGCAGCAGCGGCAGCTGCCGTGGTCATCGTCGTCGTCGTCGAAGTGGGAGTGGCAGTGGCTGTGGCAGGAGGCAGCCTTAGTGGTACCCGAAGTCGTCGTCGTAGTGGCTGCTGTCGTGCTCGTCGTCGTAGCAGGAGTCGTTGCAGTCGGGGAGCACGTAGGAGTTTTGGAAGCAACGGCAGCAGCAGCACGCAGCGCAGCAGCATTTGCAACGACGACAATGTTGAAAGTCATCAAGCCGTTCCTGTGTGAAACCTGAGGTCCTACGCTCTCAGCCAGCGCTCATCCTCCCGAAACTCGAGAGACTCGGTCCTTGGTTGCACAATCATATCGTATGTTGCAGGTGATGCTGTTATTCTCATGGTGATACCTACGGACCCCACAAACAAGGCCCAACAGGTCTGCACATCCTCGTGGCAGATTCCGCTCTAAATCTCGCACTTGTGCCTCATTCACGTCCTAGCAGGCCCTGCAGTGCAACTGCCTGAACCAGATGATTCCATGGCTACCATACGATTCTGTTGAGCCGTCCGCTTGTATTGCTTCATCGAGGCGGCCATCGCTAAATACTTCCGACTTCTAAATCCCAGCAGCATGCCGCTAGGCCGTGAGCTGGGAGGCCCCGATAGCCGACGATGTAGGAAAAGACCGCCGCCTGCAACGATCAACACAGGGGTCCGTCACCGGGACTACGTGGGCAGAAACACTGAGGATTCCTTTCGTCTTCTCTATCACAAGAGCGCCTGCCATCACCATGAACCTACACTACGCTGAACTTAGAAACCTAGCACAAATCATAATTCTAGCTGTTTCTTAGGGATCATAATAACCAAAAATTAAAGATTATTTCAGTTTACAATCTCCATGGAAATGGGTTAGCCACTCAGCCCCTTAGCCGTGAACCCACGTAACCACGCAGTCCCCAAACCTTAAGGGCAGCTACTTGGCTAAACTATGGGGCTCCCCACTTAAGCATCTCGGGTGATAGGCCTTGGTGATGAGGGTTTAGCGGCATTGGAACCAGGGTGCAGGGCTTGGGATTTAGCTCTGGTCTCCTCTTGCTTGTCCCAAAGGCTCCATGTACCTTTATAGTAGCTACTTAGGCCTTAAAGGGGGCCCTATATAGGTACCTTCAGGCCTAAGTACCTGCTATATGGACACATGCAGCCTTAGGGTGTCGGACTCCTGTGCAGATTTTGTTGTCCGGGAGGCGTCAACGCAGGCAAGAGCTTTCCAATCAAGTCTGATCGGCGAGGCTCCAATTAGCAGGGGTTCAAACGGAATTCAGGACCTGACATCGAAACAAGAACGAATGCCACTTTCGTCTTGGAGGGACAGGACATTGCCTGACACTCTCGACTGCAGGCACACGCACCATGCCAGCGTCTAGCATGCACCGAACACAAGCGATCTGCAGGCCTCCGCCTAGATGCTACTCCTAGCTCCTTACTTCCCAACCCGTGCTATATTTAGGAAGTTGGCTCGATAAAAGGGCTCCGATTCTCAATGTCTTGGTTTCAGCTATCCTTTTACTCTCGATCTGCCGGATGACCCAGCTCGCATGAAGTCGTCAAAACAAGCAGCTGCTTTCAGAGTCCACCTCAAACCTGTCGATGCGGAGTGGGTGTTGGGTTGAAGGCTTCAGGATTCTGTCCCAAAAACCTACGTAAACTGAAACAACTTGCGGCGCCCTGCGAGAGGAACAGGGGAGTGCACACTGTTAGTTTTAACCCTTGCAGGGTTAGAGGGCTTGAGTCTTCTGCACCGAAACCAGCTCCCAAGAAGGCCACTGTTCGACACATGCATGAAAAACAAGAAGCCCCGCTTGCACCCGCAGTCCCCGAAGTCGTAAACTCCAACACTACTGTAGCCCTTTGAACAGGGCTTCGAACTAGCTCGGGATTTCGGGCTTGGGGTTTCCTCCGAAAAGGCCGAGCCTGTAGACGCAAGCCCTGCCCAGCCAATCAAGATCGTTCTAGCAAATCCACCCTAGACCCGATAATACAGGGGTTTGAAACATCACCCGTACTGTCCCTTAAGGTCCTTGAAGGTAATATATACTGTCTCATACTCCAATTCAGCACAGCAGAACCCGACTCCGATTTTGAATGCCCGTTATGAAGTCAGTAAACCCTCAAAGCTAGACCTGGCACCCTGGAAAGAACGAGCAAACCAACAAGCAATGAGAGTGCTCGAAAACGGATGACGGGACAATCCGATGGCCATTGATTACAGGATTTTCTTCCTTAAGCTGTGCTTCTGCCGGGCTTCTGGTTTGCAATGGCATGCACGAGGAATTGGGGCTCCCTGAAGAATGACACCGAAACAGACGGCCCGGCCTCCCCAGCCTCGGGACAGGCCTGCCGGTCAAGCGTCATACGAACCTCAGACCAAGAGCTTCGACGCTTAGAGTTTTGGGCTTGTGCCCTACAGTAGAAGCCAGAAAGTTGGAATATCATTATCGTAACCCCTTTAAGGTAAACTATAAGGGATCCTGCCATTAATCCATATTCCAACTTTCTGGAGTTCCCTTTATACAGTTTAGGGCTCGTTCGGGCCGTGGGTCGGTTGTACGGATGGGAGTATCGCAGGAGCAAACATTTCTGAGGCTTTAAGAACCTTGTGTAATGGACGGGTGTTAAAAGCCAACTCCCTGAAACCTAATAGAGGTGCATAAATCATCATAATGGGTTTCCTGCAAAGGAATCTATAGGAGGCTGTTTTCTGCAAGACGTCTTCGGCGCGTCTCCTGAGAAAACCCGTCAATATCTTTAAAGGGTTCAAAGCCTCGAGCCCCTTAAAGATTACCTATGCGGTCCATTCTGTTTCTGCCGACCTATTGTGGGATTTGGGCCATAATCACAATCGGACGACCTCAAACAGTAAAACAAAGTCTGACGCTTAAAGCCCGTACCTCCTACCATGCAGCTGAAAACACCACATGAAGGATGTCCTAATATGGGACCTTTATAAGCATGGACTAAGGCCTTGGGATAGCCAGCAGTTCCACTACAAGTGACTGGAATAAGAATCCTGAGGCGGGCGAGGTTTGCAGACGAACCCAACCGCACAGGTTTCCAGCTTATGCCCATGAAAGTGGAATTCTGAGACGCCGAAGTGCGGTGAAGGGCTTGACGAGGTTGACTACCAAGCTGTCCTCGAGGAATTTGAGTTGTTAGGGGCTTCGGGGTTTATGTTACGTAATATGTTGAAGGCACTTTTCTCTCCGCTGGGGATTTAGAGTTCTAGGCTTTATTAATAGGGTTTTCAGTGACAGGGTCTCCGGATCAGGGCAGGTGCAGGCAGGTTTAGCGGAAGGGACGAAAATGGCAGAGCACGTAAGTCTCAGCTTACAATCGTTTGTGTGGCTCCAGGGCTGCGGAACAAAACTTCTATGACCCACCAAAGCACGTCGTATAATAAGCCTTCCGCCCGGACTTTTACAATCGCCTGCTCCAGCCAAAGACCACACCCACATATAATCAAGCAGCCAAAGCCACCTTAAAGAGGGAGTATGAGTCTTGAGATCTTATTATACGGCAGCGGCATCAACTGTAGAAAGCTCATTTCTTAAGGGGTCTTGGGGTGCTGCGTTCCGCTCTACACAGCCCCTAACCCGACCGAGAAATCTGAATTTGCCGAGTCCTGGTTGGGGCAATATGCGACCGAGTACTCGTAGTTGGACAAGCCACCTTTGCACCCGACGCATTTGTTGGAGCTCTATACAGGGTCTTCACAGGGCTGTGTGGAGGTACTTCGTCTACATAACTCGAATCTTTCACTATGGGGAAACGAAAGAAGCAAGTGAGCAATGGTCGCATGGTTGATGGTAGGACCACAAGACCCAATAGGGGAAAGGGCAAAAACGCGAATCCGGTGGGCCTTCAGAAGCAAAGCCTGGACCCCACCCACGGAAAGCAAGCAAATCCCTAATGCTCGGGGCAAATCGACAAACCCTGGAGTAGCTGGACTTGTTCGACGGATGGCTTAGGACTTAGGACTTGGAGGTTGGATCCCCCGAAATGCACCGTTTAGCCCAAGTGGCAACCATGATCGTTTTCGATTGTGATGACATTGGCGTCGTTCTGAAACCTGCAGGGATGCCGCAAAACGTCTGGGGATCTCCGGTCAATCATACCTCAACTCATGTAGAAGCCGGTTTAGGGTTTAGGCTCCTACGCCCCCTACCCAAACGCTAAACACCTCAGCCCCAAACCCGTAAACCCTTGAGCTCGGAAACGCTGAACACCTTAAGCCCTTATGCACGTAGCCACCGTGGTCACGTAGACGTCCCTGAAACACTCAAACGGAATATCCAAACCCGAAACCCCAAACCCTCCAGTTTATGATGCATGGAACAAGGACCCTAAGTTAAACCCCGCCATATACTAGGGACCTATTCTGTGCAACCCCAAGATAAGGTCATACAAGAGACCGCTCTGGATCCCGGCTTCGACTCTGGGAAGTCTGCTGGCTTCTGATTTCTGAACCCCAAATATACCCTGTTAAGAAACTCTATAAAAACCTGTAAACCGTGTCGAACCTTACATATCCTCAACCCTAAACCCACCAGCGTCGTATGTAACCCCATCGCCCCCAAACTTGGGGCCCTTCGTAGAGCCAAGGAGCTGGGCCCCTTGACATTCTGCAGACTGCGGGCCCTCTGCCTGGCTTTGGGGTTTACGGAGTTTACGGTTTAGGATTGCTTTACGGTTTGCGGTTTCCGGATTGAGGGCTGCTTAAGGGGGAACACTTGGGCATGGGGTCAGTGGCCGATGTTTGTGATGTTGCATGTAGGGTTTTTTCCTGGTTCGGGGTTGAAGAAGTTGCTGCCGTAAGTTTCGACTCACACACTCGCACAAGGCAGGCATGGCTTCAGATACTAAGTCCGCTGAGCTGTCGTAAGTTTTGGTGGGACTTTGGGCTTCGTTCAAGGCTTTGAAGTATGTCTTGCAGTGTTCCAAACGGGTTTTCCTGCCGACGCCTCTACTCTGGGCGGATGCGTACTCTGAGATCTCAGCTGACTTCAACTTCCGAACAAACTGATCCTGCCTTCATGTCCACAATGCCGACTGCTCCGTCATGGCCTCAAGTGATCAGGCTTGGTTTGGCTTGGACCACTAACCCCGTTGTCGACACAGAGGCCTCGTGAAAGCATGGAAAGTTTCGCGGAGTGACTGTTGGTTCAATGGTCTAGGGTTCTGTTTGACGGTTGGGAGTTTAGGGTTTGATGCCCTCCAGACGATCGCGACGAATTTGTATAGTATAGGTCGGCGACAAGGAGACTCTCACATTGCCCTTTTAACTGGGCTCTCAAAGAGGCATGTCGGGTTTACGGTATACTGAGCATCGTCTTTGTCTGAACACGTGGACACCCTAAACCCGAAACCCTAAACCCCTAAACCCTAAACCCCTAAACCCTAAACCCTAAACCCCTAAACCCCTAAACCCTAAACCCTAAACCCCTAAACCCTAAACCCCTAAACCCTAAACCCTAAACCCCTAAACCCTAAACCGGGTCTCCTCACCCGATTCTCCAGGCCCCTATAGGCCCCTATAGATAGGACTCCAGGTTCCTGAACCCTTTACCCTAAACGCCTCATGAGCTCTAGGGTTTAGGGTTTAGGATTTGGGTTTTGGGTTTAGGGTTTAGGATTTGGGTTTAGGGTTTTAGGGTTTAGGGTTTAGGACTCTAAACAAGAAGTTCGGACCCAGGAACTCACCACATGGATGGCGAAGGTTTGCGTGAGCAAGGTGCCGCCAAAGCAAACCTTGAGAGCTTTAGGCTCTCGTTAGGGCGCTTCAAACCTACCATAGGATACCGGGTTTCGTCAGGCGTTTGTGTGGCGGCGGTCTATACCGCAAAGCGTAGCTTCGGGGGTTTCGGGTATAGGGTTGGGTCTATAGGTGCTTATAGTCTCTTATAGTGCTGAAGCGCTAGGCTTCAATTGCAGGCCTCTGTGCGTCTAGACAGGGTGCCACGGCTTAGAAAAAATGAGCTTCATACGAAAATACGGGAGCTTTTAGGCAATTAGCGACCCCAACCCAAAATGGACCCTGACCTGGTTTTGGGGGTTTCCTGACGGTTTTTGACTATATCCGCATTGCTACATAAGGCATGAGGGAGCCACTGACTCTAACAAACAGCTCACAGGAGAATCTTGCAAGGGCTTGAGAACCGGAAAAAAATGGCCAGTCAGCCCCACTACGCGGACCTGCAACGTTCGGATTACTATAACTATGCTAAGGAACCCTAAGAAATCGTCTTTTAAATCGTTAATTTGGTAACCATTGCGCGGAGCAAAACCCAAGAGCCAAACAGCGCCAAAAATGCTGCTCAATACGTGGAGGTGCAGGGCCCTCGGGGAGGCTCCCATCACCGGAGCATTGAAACTCGCCTGGAGCTGCGGATCATATTCGGAACGCTCAATTCTTAGCAGAGGCTTTCCAAAAAAGCCTGTGGTTCAGGATTTTGTGCAATGGTTCGACAGACATGTAATGTAGGGAGGGGCATGTGTTGTGCATTTACACCTTTCAGGCTTAAACAGTATGTCGACTCGTACGTCGACAGCCTCAGAATTGAGGTTTACAGCTGTACAGTCGGACACTGCTAAGAAGCTTATAAGCCTTCAAACAAGTAAAAGTTAAGAACCCCGCAAGCAATCGATCAACTTGAGCCACACCGCCCTTGTAAGGCTTTTTAAAGACGGAGCACACTACCTAATGAGCAAACCTGAGACCTAGACCCGATCGAGTCCTGAAAATCCTGAAACCCCACGCCCGAAATCAAGAAAATCACTCGGCCCAGAAAGATCCGAGGAGCTGCCCCGCAAGCTGGAGCCAGCAGAGACCAGCCTGTTAGGGTTTAAGGTTGAGAGTTTAGGGTTTAGGGTTAGGTCTCTCTGCAGTGCCTGCCTAGAGGCCAGATCTACAAACATGTGCTCCGTAAGCCTGAACTGAACCCTATACCTACACCCTAAAGTCTATTCGGTTTGGGTCTTTGGCGTGCTTCGAGGACGTTGAACAACTTGCAAGTCGAGGAGCATAGGAAGAGCCACTGCGGAAAGGACACGGGCGAACATGCTTCAGGCGATCCTGCAGGGATGGGTTTAGGGATCTCTTGAAAAAGGGATGGCCCTCCAGCCAGGATCCGAATATCTAGGGTGTGACATTGGGGCCTTAATAACTAGAATAGGGTTCTGGGGCCCATTATACTATACTGGTAATAAGACACCCCCAAAATAGTATTGGTAATTCTTTAAGCCCCTATGTTTATATTAAGGTCTCTCATTTTCCCTGCTCGCTGCAGTTCTGAGTGAGCAGGTTCGATAAACGTCCTCCATTTTTGTTAGGGTTGTTGCATGCATGTAGGGGCTCTGCTTATCTGCTGTATGGGCCTTCGTTATGATATACCTAAAAGTCGTCTAGAGGGAAGGGCAGATAAACACCCTAAACTCCCTAAACAGTCTCCATAGCTAGTTTTTGGAAGAACCCGTACTCAATGAGTACTAGACTCTCTAGCCAGATTCTCGCGGACCTGGACGAGCGTCGTCGGGAAGGGGTTGACTGCTGCAGCTGCGAAAACGGCTTCGGCACGAAGAGGGCAAGGCTTCAGGGTTTGACGATCACACTCGGCAATACCAGGGAGGTCTTCTTTTGCTTTCCCCTGGTCTTCACGGTTTAGGGTTACGGTTTTATGCTGGTTTTATTTAAGGCGACCAATTACGGATGATTCTCGTGCTGCAACCCAGAAGCTCAGGGCGCCTCAAGCTGCAACCAGAACGACAAGGTCCGACATGCCAGATGGCATACGGAACCATAGGCAGTGTAGCAGGGAGCGACCGTGTCTGCAATCACACGTGTTCCGACAGATAGAGACGGAAAGAGAGCCAGAAAGAAATAGAGCGAGAGAGAGAAAGAGAGACAGAGAGAGAGAGCGGCAACACGACAGCGGCACAAGACAAGCGGGCACGCATGGATAAATGGATAGTTCTCCAACTGAAGTTAGCCCTTGAAGCCCCATCAGATTACGATAGATTACGTCATTCTTACCAAACGTTCCGCCAACCAGGATACGAATCCAGCTAACCCCCCGCATGACAGTAAGAAGAACGGCGAGAAGATCCTGCACCCAACATCGCTGTAGATATACTAGATCCAAGCACAGCATCTTCACCAAAGCGCCGAGAAAGCCAAAGTTTCTAGGACTCGCAGAAACAAGGTTGAAAAGAGGGCTGCCGAATCCACAGAGACGGGCTTGGGTCTTTAAACTGAAACTCAAGAGCTGAGCAAGAAAGGAGAAACCTGCACTCGGCATTTGATCGGGTGTGTTGTCTAAGACAATAGACATGCTGAACGCGTAGAGGCATGTACCAACTGCTTTTATCGCAAGTATCCAACAACCTTGAGTTGGACGGTCCGTCTCAAAGACAAGTGAACCTTTCGACCTGAATTCCAGGCTTGTGCTGCAGGAAAGCCAGCAGCAGCGCGCTGTAGCTCTCGCTTCGGAGGCAGTAACGAAACCATAAAGGTTGGTTTAGGGGTTTTGGGCGTTCTGCACACATTTTTTTGCCGGCTATATCTAGGGTCTCCGGGGATAGTCAACAGCACGGGAGTTTGAGGATTTTACGAGGCAGGGCAGGCACACCTGCAGCCTACGGCTGCTCCTGCTCCTGCCTCCTACCACGAGGGCCCAGAGCCATGGCAAAGAAGAAGCTGGACATTGCCAGCCTCTCTATGCTACAGGCGCGCACACCACCATGCCGGGTGGCAGCATGCGCCGGAATAAGCTGACAGACTGGAGATGGGCTGGTCGTTTGAGAACCATCTGACAGAATGTGTATATATATATATATATACATACATATATACACACATAGCATATAAATCTGTATATATATATATATATATATTTATATTTATATTTATATTTATATTTGTATTTATATTTATATTTATATTTATGTGTGTATGTATGTATGCTCATTCAGATATCCCTCAACTTAACTATGATATATAGCTCAAGCGATCATCCAAGTGTCTAGGGCTTTACACGGAAGACGCTCGCAACAGTCTGCGAAATGCTGCCAACAACGCCATCCTCGAGCTTCACACCTGTCATGAGGGCCCCTAAAGGAGGTCTTGGCTCTGACTGTCGGGTTCAGGGTACAGGGTTTGCAGGGCTTATGTTTACATTTAGGCGATTTGGTTCATGGGTCAGTTATCTTCATGGCTATGAAGAGAGTTTAAGGGTTTTGCAGGCCCTAAACTGCATACCCTTGAAGCCTAAAACCCCAACACCGAAATTCAAGCGCCGGTCCTGACTTTCCCGGAAATCGCCAAAACACTCAACTTCGTAAACCTGCAGCCTTCCAAACCAGCCTGAAAAAAAACAAGAACAGAGTGTTCGGGCCCACCGTGTTTTAACAAAAGCAAAGAAAGCGTAGCCTGTGCATGTACCGGTGTAAACAATAGTACATGCGTATATGGTACAAAATATGTACCGAGTGTGTAGGCGTATGATGAAAATTCCTATGCATGTATGTATGCATATATTTATATGTATACATACATATATATATATATATACACATGTATATTTTGTACTTCCACAAAGGGTCCAAGTATCATCGTGGTATATACTTAGACCCCCAAAATGCCATATTAGTATATACCAGAATGATACTTGGACCCTTTGGGTTCCATGTATACATAAAGTATGCATCTGTACCATCGCGGCCTAGTGATTAGTGATGAAAAGCACATGCGCAACTCAAACCTCAGACGAATGAGAGCACAAGTTCCTGCAGTGCTTGTCTGACATCTTTAGGCTTCCGGGTTTACGGTTCAGGCTTTTGGCCTTAAGGCTTTACGGGTTTCCCGGGCAGCAAAAACAAGAAGAGGCCTCGCCAGCAGCAGGGCAGGACTGGCTTTCGAGCACCATCCGGATGCTGTAAGGCTTCACGAGGTTCACCACCAGATTGTCCTTCCAGTGCTAGAGTTTAGGGTTTAGGGTTTTTGGGTTTAACGTCACCACCAGATTGTCCTTCCAGGGGTTGAGGCTTCGGCTTGGCTCCCAGGAGCCTGAACCCTCATGCTGAAGTATGCTGGGTAAGACATACGAAGACACCGGCTTCTACAGTGTTTGAGCATCTAACGCCCCAAACGAGGAACCCCTGCAGAAAGCTCGACAGCTGCAGAAGGGTGATTAGCTCGGGCTTCAACCTCCAACCCACCGGCCCCAACATCAAAAGCGACTGGGATGGGATTCTGTTCGGCTACAGCTCGGCTTCAGAACTTCGACCCAGAAGCCTACATAACCTGAGCCCCTGTGCCCCTGAAAGCCTCTACTCTACAGCCCGAAGCTCCTCTAACTGCTTCCAGAAATCTCTCAAGCTTAGAGGAGATCGGCAAGCCGTATCACTTTTTTGCAACAGGCTTTCCACTGCGCCCGGAGTTGGAGCAAGCTCAAGTCTATCCCTCCACTCCAAACTCTCAGCCTGAAACCAAACATTCTCCGGTCCTGATCGGGGCAGTACTGCACCGTGTACTCGTACTTGGCAAGACCACCTGAGCTCCGAATGTGTTGGCACGTCTTGGTTTTAACAGAGGGCTTTTGAAGGCTAGAAGGGTTTGGTAGGCTTTCAACGCAGGGTCCGTAGCGGTTCTTCAGGGCGTTTCTTTGCTTTATTGGCCGTCCCTCTGCGGATGCATCCCACACCTCAGGGTTTAGGAAGCTTAGGGTTTATGGGCTTCGGGAATTCGAGGGTTTGCGGCTACAGGTTTGGGCTTACCGTGTTAAGGCTTGCACGTGGTTCAAGACAAAGCATTCGGGAATGGACTGCTTGATCTTACTTCTCCGGCTTCCTTCCTGGCGTTACTTTTGAGGTGATGTAGGGGGAACTGATCGGCGGCCCATTCTAGTCTTGGTTTAGCGTTAGGGCCTATTCTTTGTGATTATCTATATATTTCCAAACTGCCAAATTCGCTCCACTACAAAGCCCTACGATCGCTCGGCAGTCAAATTCAAAACCACCGCCAGGTTGCAGCCGTGGTCGTTCTCGATGGTGATGACATTGGCGTCGTTCTGGAACTGCGCGCCATCGCACTCAGCCGACTGGGGGCCCTCTGCCTCCCGACGCAGTAGGAAGTTTCGGATTTCACCTAGAAACGATCGGGATCGATTGCGGCATGTAGTTTAAGGTTTAGGGAGGGCTGGACAAGATTTCATTTCAAAACCTCGGGCTCGATAGAACTAGAGTGAAGAACTAAAGTTGAACAAGGGCCCCAACCACCGCCTACAAAAGCAAAGCAAACGAGCTGCTGAGCTCCGGGTCGCTGGGGGTTCAGGGCTTAACCGCTTATTCGGGGTAGCTTCTCTTGTTGGTTACTTTGTTCCTCCTAACCCACAATACATTCCTGGGCTTTGTGCTCAGGCTTTTCGGGACGGAGCTCTGCGCTGCAGGAACCAACCTGATCAACACACCCCCGGTTGCTGGTCCTGGTTCTGACTTGGGTATAATCATGCTGCATATATATATAATATAGAGAGATAGACATCCCAGCTAATTAGTTCCCGGAAGAGGATTGACCTACACACTTCAATGCCAGGAACCCGAAATCCAGAACCTTCACCTCTGCTCTAAAAACAGTTTCACGCATCCCTGCTGGGCCTTCAAATCCACGATGCCCACGGCACCATCGTGACCTGGGCAGCGGCATAGAAACTACTATCATTACTGGTATGATTATTCTGAATACTGTTTGAAAGCATTCCAGGCATTAGGGGCCACGAGCTTGAGCTTTAAGGCTTGCGCTGTCACACTCGGACTTGCCAAATGAGCTTGCGGCCAGGGCTTAGAAGCTTTGAACCTTACAGGACCCTCCAACGGATCCATAAACCTTGCATGCTTGGCTAGTTTAAGGCTTGACGTTTCGCTGAGAAGACTCGGCTCTTTCGCAAGATGGAGCACGATTCGTGGCGTGCTTGTCTGCAATACAGAGGCCAAAGATTTTTCTATGTGCTAATGACACCGTAACATATCCAGACACCCTCAAGTAAGTATACTTCATCAGGGTCTTATGTTTGCCACTGGTCAAGTGCCAGGAGTGTTGTCTCCCAAAATGCACAGTGCAAAGGAGCATCGATCCTCGAGGAAGATTATTGCTAGGGCTAGAACCCCTAAGCCCAAAACCCTTTTTGCATCCAGGCCTATTGCGACTGCCGGGTACCCTGAAGACCAAAACCCTAAACCTATGAACCCTTCCGAAGCTCCCAGACTCCTACAGAAGATCTTAAAACCCGACACCTTGAACACTTGCCAGGTCCAGGGGCTCACCACGTGAATGTTGAAGGTCTGTGTGAGCAAGGTGCCCCCAAAGCAGACCTGAGCCGGCATTCCCAGAAACTCGAGAGGCCTTACTAGTGCCCTTATTGGAGGGTCACGTTTTCGTTTTTGTTTAAGGGCCTTTTTCGACCTGCCGGTATGTTCGCGGCGGAAAGCCCACTTGGGGTACGGCTTATCTGCTGGATCAGGCCCGAGGCTTAGCAGGAAAGCGACGATCTAAACCGAAGAGCCGCATGTGAGGGTCTGCGCTACCGCCTTACCATCCCAGGTATTTAGCCCAAAGCTTGTACATCAAATATCTCTAGAACCGAGCTACAGCTACGGCTCATAGGCTTTAGGCTACAGTAGAAGCCGCAGGCTTTGGGGTTTAGCGTCTAGGGCCTGGGTAGGGTTTATTGTCGCTGAAGTCTTCGGGTCGCAGGTACCGACAGCTCAGGGTCTAAGGTTGCGACTGACGTCCCCGACGGCGGGGCTCGATGCTAGCACTCCAACTGGCAAAAAGTAGGCACCATTCATGCTGTTATTGGGTTTAGACCTGGTAAGGCAAACAGTGCCACAAAGATCATAGGACTCATAAGGCTAAGCGAGTGCCCAAATTAGGACTCAAGAGCAACAGACTGCGAACACCAGGATCACGCTTGAGGGTTCTTGTTCAAGGTAGCGAAACCCGTAAATCCTGAGTTCTACACCCAAAGATTTGAAAACCGTTGGGATATAAGGACCTATGAAACGGTGGGTGCACCATAATCTTTGCGGCGCTGTTTAGAATCTAGTTTAGAATGATCGCTTCATGATCAGACCCCTAATTGAACCCAAAAGACCCTGCCATCGGCTCCAAGCTGCGGGACCCGCAGGCAGGTTGCCTTCACCGCTGCACTGAAGCTCGCCTCTTCCATCGGGGCCCATGGGTACAAAACGACAACGATTGCAACTTAGCATGACCCTAAGGGTCCATGTACCCAAATAGTATATACATTGGCCTTAATGTAATCCCTATATAGGTACATTGGGCCTTAAAGTATATGCTATTTGGGTACATGGACCCTTAGTTAACTTAGGGTGAGTTTTAGACTCCGAAGGTCAGTTCCCCTATCTCGTACTAGTGGATTGCCACAAGACCAAGCCATGGCAGGATCTTTTTGACCCAAGGTCTCGGGTGTCAGCTGGGCCAAGCTTGACGCGCTCGATCAGAGCTAGGGATGTAAGCCCAAACAATAATCCTATAATCCGCAGAAGCCATAACATGTACAAACATACTCCACCAACCCGGTAGGTTCACATCATGACAGTAGAGACTACGCTTCTACGGAGAGCCCAGAATCAAAGCCTGGGTTCAGCCTTAGGGTTTACGCTTTTCCGGGTCCTGCACTTTCGGGCCTTTGGGCTTCGCGTCCCGAACGCACCCGCCTCTCAACCTGAAGCTCTGGCAAATGGCCTCAAACTAAGTCCTTCTACAGACATGGGAGTTTCGGAAAATGGGGGACCCTGATATAGTACCCTAAATAGTAGGATCCTTATGATAAGGACCCAAAAATAAGGTACCCCTAATTTTCGGAAACTCCCATATGCATCGTGACGTCATGGCACACTTACTTGTAGTATGGCTGAATCGCATAAGTAACTGCATGTAGCAACTTTGTGGCATACGAAACGTGAGGCTACACAGTTGCAGCCGACAGCAGACTGAATATGCGTGAAAATACATATGTGTGTGTACACACATGTGTGTACATATATATATATATATATATATATATATATAGGTATACGTACTTGCAGATTTCAGGACAGCTAACGAACGTCCTTCATGCTGGTCGCCTAGCATCGCCCTGAATGTGGAAAACCCTGCCGGGTCGGTTGGTCCGAGCTGCTACCACGAAGAGAAGCGGAAGCAGAGGCGATCCTAAGCATGAAACAAAGAAGGCTTATAGAAAGATATGAGCGGGTCGGGATAAAATCTTAATGATATTCCTTTACAGCTTCATAGTTATTGCAAGTTAAAGTATGAGTGTACCCTCCATGCAAAAACCAACTCTACTTAGAAAGGATTCGAAAAGCCACCACAATTTTTGCCTGCTGCATTGCTGAGCGAATCACTAGATATCTGGGTTTGGACCCGAGAAATCTCATTTCCACACAGCGGCGGATCAGATAAAACATGCAAGCCAGACCAACGATTCAGGGTTTCAGGGTTCAGGGTCGGGTCTACGCTCTCACAACTCGGACACAGCCAGGCGAGGTTCTTAGGTGCGGAGTCGGTGTGAAAAGTCGAATGATGTCGATTCTCACTTGTGCCAGGGTCGGGTTTGGGGTTTTAAGGCCTGGGTCCAAGGCTTACAGACTTTGGGGATTTGTAGGGCCTGGTGGCCTGGTGCTCAGGGCAACCCAAATTTACAAATCGTGACTTTTGACTTGAAGCAATGCTACCTGAAAGCCATTCAGGAGAACTTCTAGTTCCTGAAGCAAGGTCCTTCTCAATGAAGCGCTGTTACTCCCAGCTCCTGGTCCGGCAAGGAAAACCTGAACAGCATCAAGCTTGCGACGAAGGGCAGAGACAATGCCAGCGCGAAGACAAATCGAGATGCCATGACGCCCAAAGGAGACCTGCATGGACTGTTTCAAGTTGCAGAAAGACGATGATCATAGAACTCAAGATGCGATGCCTGAATAAAAGGTCCAGAAATTTCCGTTACACAATGCTAATAACCGACATGGGATAAAGCACCAATGCACTGGCCTTCATGAGGCCAAACCCTGAATGAAACGGGCTTTCTGTATACATATATATATACATACATATGTGTGTAAAAGATTTTAAGAAAGTACACACGGCATACACGTATGGAGTATGGATATGTAAACGAACAACGAAACAAAGCATCAAGCATGCATGCATGCATGCATGCACATAAGGAATCTAAGTAGATGTCACTGTCCCTAGTTGGTCAGCCTTCCGCATTACCCATCGCCTTTGGGTTCTTCAGAATTGGAGACCAAACTCCGGACCCCAAAACCTCAGCCTGGGCCTAAACCGAAGCCCTAAAGACCTTGACCCCCACCAATGCGCCTGCGTTCAAGTTCCAGCTGCTTCGGGCGCTTTGCGGACAGACTGCAGAAACGGCGGCGGCCCCCGGATGCTCAAGGCAGAACCCATGATAAACAAACCATTGGGGATATCCACTGTAATGTGAGTCCCTAAACCCGAAACCCTCAACCCTAGCCCTAAACCGTGGTCATGTGAACCAAAGAAGAGGGGTTTATTCTCAGCCTCATCGGTCAAGGGTTTACATACTTGGAGGGTCGGGGGACTTAGTAAGTAGGTAGTAGGTAGATTTATAAGTACCCTAAAAGGGACCCTAATTGGGGTTCTGGTACTTATAAGTCCCCAAAAAGTCACCCGACCCTCCAAGTAGTCTACGTTTCCCCACTTGGGATTGTAATGGGGGTTCCCTTATGCTGATCAGGAATCTGCAACCACGCAGGGATGATAAGGTCTGCCTGGACCCTAAACAACCAGAATTGCTTAAGAACGTATTATGTACGCAAATCATGCGTAACAAGGAGCCCTGCAAAGGTAGGATATTTAGGGCTCACGCGTGGCGTGCAGACCTTGTAGCGCTCTTACTAGGAGTAGGGGCCGAGGGACCTCAAACCAACCTAGACCCGGTAGGAGCTGGGTCTCAGGGTTTCGAATTACCTGGCCGTTGCTTAAATTTCGGGTGCCGTTTTGGGGATTCTTGTACCTAGACCCCCAAAAGTAGGTAAAATAATGGCCCAAAACTTATAAAACGCCTATAATTCTACATACTTTTGGGGTCCAGGTATTCAAAGTCTTCCAATTCAGGGTCCTGTCAGCGTGGATAGGGTCTGCATCAGAGTGTCCTGCCATTTTCGCGCAAGCATCAAACCTCACAGGAGATCTATAGCAACCGTCTTAGGTTGGTAAGACCACAGCACCAGTAGTTCAGACTTAATTCCCGGCTTGCGCCACAAAATCGTAAGCGGTTGGACATTGCCAACTGCTCTATGCGACAATGTACGGCACGCCGTGCGCCACAAGCTCTTTACTGCGACTATTAACCTGTACACACTAAAACGTCGGTTAGGTCCGCGAGCAAGCCATTCCCTAAACGAGAAATCCTAGACCCTTGACTTTAATTTGGTGGAATCGGCTATTGGCACACGACGGCAGAAAGAACCGGAGAGATCTCAGCGATCTCCTCCAGCGCGATCTCTGAGGAAACGAGACCCGCGCTGATTTCTGAGAAACGCTTGAACCGTAGAAGACGAGTTGCTTCCATCGAACGTTACTGCCCGAAAGTAACCACATAGTACGGTAAACGACGTTGCGCGCCCAAACCCTCAAGACTAAATCCTAGATCAGCACGAAGCCCTATGCACCCACATAAACCCTATACAGTCATGGGAGTTTCCGAAAATCGGGGGCCCTAATATAGTATGCTAAATATTAGGATCCTCCTTATAAGGATCCCAAAATAAGGTACCCCCCTAACTTTCGGAAACTTCCTCATTGCTTGCAACCGTAAACCCCCTCACACCCCAAGGATCCTCAGTCGCGCGAGTCAAAGTCAGAGCCTCAAACCTGGCAGTTTCTCGGATTGTGGATGTTAAGTCAGTGGTTTGGGCTTTTGTAAAATACGGTTTAGGGTTCAGTTTAGGGGTTAGGGTTCGAGGGTTTAGGGTTTTTGTAAAATACGGGGCTTGATTTGCTGCTTCTTCGTTTTATGCCTCTTTTCCACCAGGAGTGGTTTCAGCTTTGGGAATATGGGGGCTACTTCAATGCGTGGGGACTAGGGTTTGGGGCTTGTTTTTTGAAAGAGACACCCATCGCCAAGAGCCTTTCAATCTCCACCTTTTCGCTCTGAGTTGTCGCTTCATTGGCTGTTGCACCTCTCCCTGAATCGAAAGAATCCCAAAGCTCTGCAAACTTATAGCGCTCTACACCCCATGAGCCCGGAGCCCCCAACATCGCGAATCCTGGCACCCCTGAGAAAAGCCCCAACTAACCGCTTCCTGTCCTATGGGCTGTAGCAGATCCTGGCATGCCTGACCCTTAAAAACAAAAGTCTGTTCATCGGGGGTCTACGTACGTTAAACATTAATCGCGACTGAAGCAAACTTGGAGTCAAAAGCAAGCCCCAAACCCGTAAAGCCCTGGAAAACCCCCTTCTAAACCCCAACGCCCATAATGAACCCCTACATGAAGCAACAAAAAACCGTACACTAAGATCATATGATAAACCCTATAAGCTCCAAGATTGCCTCGCCAGCTGGTGGGCAGGTCTGGCTCTCGAGAACCATGCGCACGCTGAAGGGCTTCACGATGTTGATCATCAGGTTGTCCTTTGGCCCGAGGCTGAAGCGACAATACACAGTGGGGGCCTTACTATACGTAGAATAAGGTTTGGGTGCCCATTCTACTATAATAGTAACGATAATCTCTCTCTCTCTCTCTCTGCCGTGCCATCATCAAGTGTCAACGATAATAACAATTACTATTCTTATTCTTATGATTATAAGGACCCCCCCCCCCACAACGGTATTGGTAATCATTATATAAGCCCCTTTATTGGTCCGGCAACCCAAACCCTCGTAAGTTGCCTCCCGCCGCGCTAGGACATTACCCGCATCGCAGGGTCGGTCTCAGAGTTTCAAAAGGTTCAAAGCGGTCGGTTTGGGGTTTAGGGTTTAGGGTTTAGGGTTTGGGATTTAGGGTTTAGGGTTTGGGGTTTAGGGTTTGGTAGGGTTTAGGACAGTGAAGCCATTTTGGTCTGCGTCTGCGACCTCCCAATTTGGACCGAGGTCTTCCCTGCGGTCAGAACGCAACACGGTCTACGGTCTAGGGCTCAGGGATCACAAGGGCGTGTAGGGTTTAGGGTTTGCAGAACCCCAACAACGAGGCGCGACGTGAACAATTCAGGGTTCGGGAGTGTGGAGTCCAAGGTTTGGAATGGAGGACCAGGCTCGTCCTGCTTAGAAGCAAGAACTGGGGACTATCTTATCATGACGGGGTATGATGACAACTCATTCAGACGTTACAGCCCTGGGCGCCCTAATTAAACCATATGGGAGATCCGAGCCCAAACCAGAATTTTTCGATGTTGAGGTGCATCCCAAAGTTCGTAGGTTCGTGTGTAATCCCATCACGACCCTTTCGAAACCGAGCTTGCTGGCTGCCAAAACACGACCCGGCGACCTGTTGCCAATAATGTAGAACGAGCATGAGTTCAGACTCAAGAACGGCCCTGAATCCTGCACCATAACGGAAAGAAGTGAACACCAGTATAAACCCCCTGTATGTATATATAATGTAAATGAAGTATGTGTAATACTCAATATAGATAGTATACCGTGTGTATATATACATGTATTAAAATAAACCCTAGATCATGTCCTGGTCCGGGCAGTACTGCACGGAGTACTCGTAGTTGGAAAGGCCGCCTCTGCTTTGGCACGAGGAGCCACTTGGAAAAATGTATGTGAGCTTACTTTCTCCATTCAAAATTATGCATATGAATTGATTTTCAATGCCATTTGAATATTTAAACTTCGCTTGGGTTTTTGTGTGTCCGTTTACACAAATCTCCTTTGGTTTTGCAGGCATGTCATTTGACCCCCTGCAGGCAAGCTTGGGACTATTGAAACACTGCCTGGACTAATGTATGTTTGTGTACTCGAAACACTTCCTGTGACTGTGTATGTTGATCGTCTTAAACCCGATCCGTTTGTGTTCGAAATTCCATGGTTCAGAATAGGGAACATGCACAGTAATCCCGATTTCTCATGTCATGGGTTTACAGTGACGTTTGGGTGTATCTTGTATACAGCTTGGGGGTGCACTCCACCATGATTACATAGGGAATATGAGGGCGATGCTCTGGTTTACGTTCTGCTGTGTGTTGGACTTAGGGTTGTCTGCTCGGCATGCCCACGAAGATATTCACTCAAAACAGTGCGTGTTATGTTATAAGCGTCCTCCTATAACGGCCTTCATCCAGCTTTACATGCTTACGTTACATGGGATATCTCGTCCTCCCACTGTCGGTTCCGAGCCCTATGTCAGACAGGCTATCAAAACAAAGGCTCCGCAGCTAGCAAGTTCCGTCAAAACCTAAAACCCTCCGTCGAGATGAAGAGCTCGCACAGAACACCAACAAACCCAAACCTTAACTCCCATAAAGACCCCATAATTGGAATCCTTGCAGACGTGGAGTCGCTTTGAAGGAACCACTAAGCCCCCCGGAACCCTGGCCGAGGCGCAGCCATGGTCGTTCCTCGGTTCTACGGGGTGAGAATGGGCCAGAAAACATCAAGGGTTACCCAGAGACTCCAATATCCCTTAAGTAGGGAATATTTCATCAAAGTAGGATCCTGAATATGATTTAAGGCATCATCCTTAATTAAGGGATATTGGAGTCTCTGGGTTATACGGGGTACCGTCCCCATACAGTAACAGTCTATGATAGGGCTACTATAAAGGTCCTAATATAGCTATGTTGTGAATATTATCCAACTGTTGCTGAGTGGGGGCAGTACCCAAGCTATAAGGGGTACCAGCCTTAGGGGCTTAGGGTGAGGTCAGGGGTTTAGGGAGGCTTCAGTGGTTTGCGGTAAGTCGAGGGCTTTTGGGTGGTTTAGGGGTACCGCGGTGGTACAGGCGTTGCGGCTTTAGGGCTTGAGTTATTGGGAGATTCTTGGCGGGGCTGTGTAATTTAAACCAAGAAACTGCAAGTCAGCGACTCAGATTGCTGTTGCTTAACAGAGGGAGTTCCAAACAAGCACGCAATCAGTACCAGAAAACTCCAAGACCAAAAAAACACGCCAACAGACTGAGAAGCACATGGAATCCCATGCCTGTTGAAAACAAACTATAGCATCCCAACCTTCATCGCTGCCCTAGCCAAACTCCAAACAAAAGGCTAAAAACTACGCCCTGAAATTGAAACGCTGTCGAGTCCTACACTGCCGAAAGCCATAACATCTTGAACCATACGCGCCCTTTAAATCTAAACCAAGATACTACACCCTAAAGCCTGCGAACACCATTGAAAGCTTAAACCAGCATGCTACACCGCACACCCGAAACCGCGAAACGAACATGCTCAACGGGGAATCTTAAATGTCTTAATCCCTGGAAACCACTGAAGTCTATACAGTTTAAAATGTATAACCTTTGTTCCAACAATCTCTTGGAATTTTCTTATACGAAAAACGAAACATGTCAACACACAGTTCCCAAGAACACTGAAGCTAAAGCAATATTCTCGATGGTGAATCTCAACTCTATAAGCTTATGTCTATAGAAGCCAAACCCATAAATCCTGCACCCTAAACCCTGTCACCATGCTACACCCTACACGCCCGAAGCCTGGGAGCCCCTATAGACACTGAACACCCTGAACCTTCTAGGATCCTAACCAAAGCAATAAATCCTTAACCCAAAATCCCCCTGAGCCAAGCTTAAACCCTAATACACCTGGACTATGCATATGCCAGGAACCGAGGCGCCGACTGTGCTGTGGACTCGTGCTACCCCAGGTTGCAAAAACTGATCAAGTGGTATGTAATTACGGCAAAAAACATGCTCCGAGGTGTGGAAGCAACCCTAAACCTTAAACCCTAGACCCTAAATCCTAGATCCTAGACCCTAATGTAATTCCCTAAACCCCAGCCAAGCTTCTCGATGGTGATGACGTTCTCTTCGTTCTGAAACTGCGCGCCGTCGCACTCTGCCTCCTGGGGCCCCTCGGCCTGCGCTTTCTCACGGATCATTAGACTTAGTAGGGTTCCTTAAAGGGCTCCTTTATGGGGATCCTTTCGGGTTTAGTGTTATTTTGGGAAGTACAGTAGATCCCTTCATTTGGGGGCCCTATACTACTAAGGCACTTTATAGGAACCCCCATTAAGGGATCTGCTTTTTGGATCCGTGGCTATTGAAAGGCCGTTCTAAGTGTGCGTTTTGAAGTTAGGGGTTTAGGGTTGAAGGTTAGGGGTGTAAGGGTTTTGGCTACCCTTAAACCCTCAACATAGATCAGATCGGCTGAGAGGAAGCGAACTCCAAAAGTCTGAGGGCTAAGGCTTGAGCAAGCTTACCTATTAGAGTTTAGAGAGGGGCGTGGCTGGGCTTGAGGAGGATTTCTGGGAATATTTATTGTCCGGTTATGTTCCAATTCGCCCTCCAAATTTATTTTCAACCCGGCGCTGAAAACCTGCGCTGCCAAGCAGAGGAGCAACAGTAGCCTTGTGTTGGAAGGACACGCCGGTGAAACCTGTGGTAGACGCCTAACCAGAACATGATGGGAGGCCAAAAGGGGGGTTTAAGATTCTTGGGGTAGGGATTCCTTAAGATCAACCCTCTTATGGGAACCCTAATCCCTACTAAACCCCCATAGGCTAAAACCCTTTTGGCCTCCTATGAGAACAGCAAGAGCCCCGACACCCTAAACTCCCATCATCTTCCGAGACCGCAGGTAGGGGGGGCCAGGAATCAGATGGTTACAGGGGTACGGGGTATGCTAAACCCCTACGCCCTTAAACCTACACCCTCAGGGTCCATGTATCCAACCCGCATAGTATATACCTTAAGGACCTAAAGTGCTAGGCTTCATCCCGAGTGGCCTTCATGTCCACAATCCCCACTTCGCCATCATGGCCTCCGCTCGTCCGTGAGGGATGCTCTGCGCTGAAGATTTCAAGTGCCCGGTCACCAGAGGCCTCTCTTAATGGGGGCCTAGGAGGGGATCGGAGTTTAAAGCTAAAGTTTCGAGTTTACAGAAGATAGGATAGAGGTCCAGGGTGTACAGTACACAGGGGTTTAGGGTTTATAGGCTTAGGGGCTTAGGGGTTACAGTAGGAGTTCTGCAAGACTGTACGGCAAACGGGACCCGCACTTTCCCAGGCGCAGAATCCAAACCAAAAGCCCGAAATCCTTGACCCCATAACCCCGGTTAACTTACTAAACCTACAGCCCTCAACGATGTAAACCCGAAAACCACTTGAACAAAAACAACATAAACTCTCCATCCTGCACTAAACAGCCAAAAAGACCGAACCCCTAAAGAATACAAAGGAAGGAACCAAACTTGATCACACGAGTTCACCAATACATCAGGGTTCAAGGGTTTACACGGGCCAGGGTTTAGGGGTTGGGATTGTCGAGACCGGAATATCATGCCAGAAAATCTGGTTCGGGCAGCCTCTCCCGGAATTGCATCAAGCTTGCTGAAAAGAAGCTTGTCTGCAGCCTGAACATTAAAGCCAAAACGCAGAATTTGAAACAATTCGGGGCCTTGATTTGATAAGGGCTCTGGGGGAATCTTATTGCGCATTACTCCGACCCGTAGCAGACCCCCGAGCTTCCACAAGAATACATACACGGTTGAAAGGTCTAGGGATAGAATACCTGAGGAAACTAGACCACAAACCCTAACCACGCGCCACTAAGCCGCCAACCCGAAACCCTAGTGGAAGCCCAGGCAGTTGTTATAGGTTCATCGGGCATCGAGATTGGGCCAGGCAGCTCACCACATGGATCTTGAACGTTTCTGAGAGGAGGGTGCCGCCGTAGCAGACCTTCGCCGAGGTTTTAGCCATGGGCTTAGATTACAAACTGTGCCAAGTCGCAAGCTTGGGGTTCAGGTAAGCGGGGGCATGTACCAAAGAGAACAAAAAAAACTCGCATACCACACATACAAACATTTGCGTGCATGTCTGTGTGTGTATATGTATATATATACACATACACTCATGTATACACAGGTGTGTGTGTGTGTGTGTGTGTTGGTGTGTGTGTGTGTGTTGTGGTGTGTGTGTGTGTGTGTGTGGGTGTGTGTGTGGGGTGTCTGTGGGGGTGTGTCGGGGTGTGTGTGTGTGTGTGTGTGTCTGTGTGTGTGTGTGGGTGCGTGTGTGTGTGGGTGCGTGTGTGTTTGTGTGTGTGTGTGTGTGTGTGTCCGGGTGTCCTCGTGCACGTGTGTGTGTGTGTGTATGCGCATACACACACACACACACACCAACACCAATAAGAATATCTGCGTCCCTGCATACAATGCACGCACGCCTTTGCAATGTAGCAGATCTTCATCTTTGCAAAGCATTCGACGTGCCAGAGTCCAACTGTCTTTGCCGCATTTGTTGGCGTCTTAAGTGCAGAGTGTACAGTTACCAACAGTTTCGCTCGCCTGTTTGTGGGGATACTTGGGGAATTGCCGGGAGGTGGGAGAGGCGGGGGCGACGGATCATGTTCTGAGGGGACATACCCGACCCTGGCACAATTCTATACTATTCGGGGTTTTCTCTCACCTAGCGGAACTTACTGTAAGACTCGTGCTTTGCTTCCTCTGTCGGAATTCTAGCTTCGAAGGCCAGTTCCGACAACCCCATCCATACCCCTGCATCCTCTTGGAAGCCCTCGCAACACGCCTTGTAGCACTCTTTTCCCTTGCAGCACCCTCATGAAAGCCGCGATCCCTCTCAGAAACCTTAAACAAGGCCCAGGCTAACACCCTTATCACTAAACCCGGAACCCTAAATCGAAAACCTTTTACAAGCCCTGCGCTGTGGCAAGCGACCGGGCCGGCAGGAAGATTCCCCTCACCAGTGCACTGCAGGTCTCCTCGAGGGTTTGGAGCTTAAAAGTTTGGACTTTAAGGGCTCAGGGTCCATAAAACACAAACAGCAGCCTACGGTCCGACATAGGCATATGCAATAGCACTAAGTGTTTCCTTGCTCTTAAGGGCTTGGTTCTCAAAGGGTTTCGCAAGGGCTCTCGACGCGAGCGCGGAAGCTTGTGTCGCCTGTGCCGAGCTTCCAGAAACTTCTACATAAGCGCTTCAATAAGGGATCCATGGCTTGCGTTTTTCGGGGCTTGCGGCTTAGGCAGGTGCGGCAGCTTAGGCAGGTGTTGCAGCCCTCGTGCGAATGCACGTATGCGTACATGCACCAGGCTCCGACATGTACAAAAAAAGTGCTTACATGTACACTGCACGGCTCCAAGGCGAAACCCTCAACACACATGTCTGCACCTGGGACATGCAGCCTGAACGCCAAATCCCAAAGCCCCTGAACCCTACAAGTGGTAGTATATCCTGTTTTGCTACTGGATCAAGTCTAGCCAGTCCACGACCTGATATCCTAAACCCTAAACCGCTAAATCCCTAAACCCGCAGTCTCGTTCTAGGACTATTGGATGCTCCTCCGCGCAGCGAGCCCTTGGCGAGCGCCAGCCTTAGCACGAGAAGCTGGTTGGGTTTTGAGCCTAGAAAAACGAAAGCCATGGGCTTAAGGTAAAAGCCAGAAAGTTGGAATTTGATTATCCTAAACCTTTATGGTAAATTATAGGGTATCCTACCCTGAAACCATATTCCAACTTTCTGGAGTTTCCTTTAAGCTGTCCGGAGAAAGCTGCCACAGGGCAAGTGCTCACGAACCACGGTTTCAGTGCTCCGATCCGGAGAGCACTAATGTTTAGAAGTCCCTGCCCTTAAGGTGCCCACAAGCTGATAAAAAAAAATCCTTCCTAAATGCCTGAAATCTTCAGCTTCAAAGGCTCAATTCCCTTGAAGAGGCGATGGTTAGGGCTTGTAGGGGTTAGTGTCCGGAGTGAACTAGCCGTCACGACGCAACTGTGAGCTCAGGGCTTGCGGGAAAAAGGGTACGAACTTCTAGGCCTTCGGTTTAGGGGCTTCAGCTTGACTAACATAGCAAGGGGCAGAGGGAGGGACAGGGCAATGAAACCGCGAAGAGCCATGACGTCGCAAAGGTCCTCGGAGGGAAGGATGTAGGATGTCTATCGGAGCCTTAATCATCAGAATAAGGGCCTAGGGTAAACTAAGTATACAATAACAAAGAAAATAACAACAAGCAGCCCTAATGAATCGTACTACTAGTTTTGCAAGCTTCTATATGAAACCTCAGGCTCGTTGTTCGGGGTCAGGGCGTCTTGGCTAAGGATCCTTAGATGGCCATGTCGCTCCAATATGGGGGCATAACACACCCCTTACTAAAGAACCCGACAGTTCGGAAAAGCATTGGCAACTGTCCAGTGGTTCAGGCGTTGACATTCTTGCGACTCACCCGGCAGAAACATCTACGCAGCGGCTTGGTAAGGTTCTGTGCAGCCGGCTCCACGAAGCTCCCTGGAAGTGCCAACCCTGCCTGCAGCCCCAAACCGAGTGCTTCCTACTATGCCGCCTAGACTTCGGGGGTTCAGTGCCGGATGGATATTTCGGATTCGAGAAGTGTTAAGGAATGGCGGTAGACTCAGAGCCATCACCTGAACATGTGTAGGTTCTTTGGGTTTCTTACCTTTGGACCTTGCCTGCTTGCAATAGGATCGACCAGTGAGGTTTGCTGTCGTTTATCTGAGGAACACCCATACCTGAGACGTCATCCGTCTCACGTTTGTGACACCTTGTAAAGCTCAGCAAATCTAGGTACTGGTCACCCCAAACATCTAGCTACCATTCCAATCACCGGTCTTCAATGACCAATTGAAAGCAAAGCGTCCCAAACTCGCTTCTGATTGCTCCACGTCGCTGCGAAAATGCTGAAGCCGAAAGATCGTCACACACTCGGAATCGCAACACACTAGCCCTTTGCACTATACTATACCCCGACACTACCCCGCTCCAAGCAACTACTTTGCATGTACAATGTACCAGAAGAGAAGGCTGATGCAAACTCTACTACACAGGATTACGACGTATACATTCACTGGAGGCGCGTCACTCAACATCCGGGCTGAGGTCTTGGATTTTTTTGTTAGACCTTCAGCGCCCGCCCTGAATATTGCTTCCTTTTAGGGTTGTGGGGTTGCGCAGTTTCCGGTTGAGGGCTTTGTAAGGGATTAACATTTGGGGTTTCGACTCGCGCACTCGCAAAGCAGGCGTGGATCCAAGCGACATTCGGGGCTTGAGGGCTTGGACTGGTCAGGGTCAGGGTGTTGGGGTTGATGGATTGAAGGATATAAGTTTGCAGTCTTAGGTCCCAAAAGATGATTCAAGGCTGAAAGATTGTGAGCGGTTTAAAGCACCCCACGAAGCAAGGTGCTTCACTCAGCACCACAGGTCGAAAACCCTCTTGCTGAAGCTGAGCCCTGCCTTTATCGGAGATTTTGTGTGCATTGGGTTTGAGGGTTCAGGGCTTTTAGTTTAAGCCCACTGCAATTCAAACGACTAGACGTGCTCTTCTTCTCTTGGCGCAGAATCTTCCAGCCATTTCAGGCTGCGGATTCGCATTAGACGAGCTCTGGCCAAGCCCACTCGCTTTGCTTTCAGTCCCAGACAGGTTGAGAGTTTTCAGACTGAAGGAGGTTTAAGGTTTGCGGTTCAGAGTTATGGGTTATACGGGGCTTGGGAGCTAGGAACTCATCCTTTCAAGAAACAACAAACAGCAGACTCAACACATTACCTTGATGCTCCACAGTAGTCAGTTCATTTGTCGAGACGAGCTTACGAGCCACGAGCCTTCATCAATCAGACAAACTTGACCAAACACCGCTGAAACGCAAACCCCAACCTCAACAGTAGGAGGCTTAGGGCTTTACCGGTTGCTATTGTGCGCAGAGTGTTAAGTATTTAAGCTCAGGTCTGGGGAGCTAAAGGGGTTTGGTGTGCAGGGTGTTGTGTTTCCTTTGGGTCTGCCGTGCATGATATGATCAAAGCATGATGTGTCACGGTTGTGCAGAAGCAAAGACGGACAGTGGGCAAGGCAAGCAGTCCGGTTGACACGAGGCCCTTGCAATCGCCCGGGCTAATTGTGGCATGCAGCAGTGTACGCGGCGGCTAGGGTCGCATCAAGGAAGACTGACACGAAATCTGGGTTCCTTTTCTGCTTCTATCCGATTCTATCCCATAGGCAGACACTCCTGCTACACGGCCCCCAATATGTTACAAAAGGACCTGATGCCCCATGGGTCTCTCCAGCAAAGTTAACCGAGAATAACATTCGCCTTCCACAATGTCTGAGTACATATGTTTAGACAATACATAATACGTCCATGCATGTGTACATACATTTAAACTCTTCAGGCCTGTTTCGGAAAATCACATGAGCCCGCTGCAAACATCGAGCCTGTTGCTTTCTGGTGTGTCGCTGAAAAGTACAGCTTTGCCCTCAAGAAGTAAAAGAAGCACCGACAACCCTTGCCAGCCAGCCGACAAGAGCCAAGAACAGCAACGAGAACCCTTAAGCGAGTAATGTAAGGGTCGGGATGATTTAGTCAAAGCGCCCCCTTTACAGCATCTTCAATTTTCAATACCCACACTCTCATGTACTCCCAAATCCCAACCCCAACTAAGGCTCTAACTCAAACCCGCAAAAATAACTCTATAATTCGATAAATGCATACAAATCTCGTACTAAGGGCAAACACCAGACAGGGCCTGGGCAAGAGGAGCAGTCAACAGAGTCGCTTCTTCGCAGCATCCGGAAGCCTAAATCAATCCGGAGCCGAAGCACGTCTAAGCAGAACAGTTGCGAGCGTCGGGATTACGGCTTTTCGACCTAGAGCTTGGGTTTGGGATTAAGGGTGCTTGTTTTTCCCACATGCCCAGCCGTTGTGCTTCTTTGCTTTGAGGGTTATGCTATTTTTTGCTGAATCGGAACACCAACCCCAAAACCCTCATTCGACTTGACTAAGGACTGGTCCGATTTCACCACGCCAGAAAGCCGTAACAGAAGGGCAACCGGAGCTCCCGTTGAGGGTGTGTGTTTGAGAGGGTAGGACCTTTGGTTGATAGCTTTCACAAACTCTAAACCCTAAACCGTATAGAGGTTATATTGCCACGTCTCAGAGACCCCAATCAAAATCTCTTCTCTTGGTGCAGAGGCCAGCAAGACATTGCTTCTGGCCCTAAAGAGCCAATACGCTGGCTGCGCTGAGAAGTTCGGCCCAAGGAGCTTGACTTGTGGTAGCTTCTCCACAAAAACCCCAGACCCTATACCCTAAACCCCAAGCCCAGCTCATCAGCAAGCTCTCGGACTTGCTGCAGTGCTGCGGGGCCCCAAAGCGTACCAACTCAGCACTTAGGATCTGGCGCTTGGGAGGGAGACACGGGCGAGCGAGAACAATCTAGGGCGCAGCCAGCGACAAAATCTTCAATCTTCGCCACAATGATATCTGACCGCCACCCTGCTTCCGATATCAGCATCCGGGACACGCTCTATTCGAATGACCTCTACAGGAACCACTCTAAAGCCCTTATTCCAAACCCCTTAGACCCTAACCCTCAGAGTCGAACCTGCACCCTAAATCCCATATAGGGACACCCTGAAGGCGGCAGGGGTGCGCGGCCACAACCTCCAAAGATCTGCTCAGCAATCGAATCTTGACGATCAGACGCTCAGACCTCGGCTCTTCACACATCAGAATAGGATTTGGGGTTTTTTTCCCTCCTACCTAGCAAGGACGAAGTTTGCCTTGCAGGGAGTCTCGGTTGAACAGTTGGCATCAGTTATGCTCTTCATGCTGTGAGGGTGCCATAGGGATGTCTGTTCAAGGCCTTTGTTTAAGATAGACCCTGAACCCTAAATTCAATCCTAAACCCAAACCCTAATCATCAGCACCAATTGCAGAACCCAGACCCCGAAATCGCAGTCCTTAGCCCTAAACCCAAGACCCAAACCTGAGTCGTAAACCCTCGTGCAAGTGCCACATTCGAAACCCTAAACCCAGACTCCCGAGCTTACAAACCCTGGACAAGCCTTTTGAATTTGAAACAGACGAAACGAAAAACTTCAGAACCCCGTTACAGCGCTCCTAACCTACGAAACCACCCTCACCTAACTGCAGAAAAGTATAAGCCGTCTGTGCTTTTTACAACAGAGCCCTCCAAAACCATGAAACGCTTGGGCCGGTGCCTCACCGGCAGCAGGGCAGGTTTGGCTATCAAGCACCACGCGGACGCTGTAAGGCTTCACCAGGTTGATGATGAGATGATCCTACAAGGAATTCCATAAGATTGGGGCTTCAGATGCACATCTCCCGGTTTTCTTGGGTTCAAAAGCTTCGGGCGTTCGCCGACTTTGGCGCTTGGTTACGGGATCCGCGGCGTTCATCGTGAGATGGGCCGGGGATCTTGGGCTTAGGGACCCTAATAAAGAGAATATATGGTTGTGGGGTACATTGCACGATAATTGTAATCAGGAACGCACAAAATGGCACTAAATTTTAAGCCCCTATAGAGCTGGGGTAGGTCTTGGCTCGGGCTTGGGGCTTTCACTTCGCGGCTCTAATGCGCAGAAGCTCATTTCTACAGTCCCGGCAGTTTCATCGAAAACGCCACCGTCCAAGAGACGGTTCTATATCCGTCCTGACGACGACAGACACTACCTCCCTCCAAGCGGGTCTAGATTGACATATCGGAGCTGACATCCGTCCTGATCCGGGCAATACTCCACAGAGTACTCATAGTTCGTCAAGCCGCCTGATATGTGCATCATTCATGGTTTGCGTGAGGACATGGCCCAGGCACTTCTCAAATTCCCCGCCTAGCTAAACCATGATCCCTAAACCCTGCATTCCTAGAACTTCCGTACCTGAGGTTGCTTTCTGACTGGAGAGCCAGCATTGGAAATTCGGAATAAGACTACTTTCTTCCAACCTTCGTACGTACATCAGAGTAGGGCCTGGGGATAGATTATGGAGCACCCTACAACGGCGGCAGTCCAGAACCGAAGTTGACCCCATAATAAACTCTGACTGACCCCAATACAGAAGCCTTCTAGAGCCTCGATGCTCGCCTAAAGCCATTCCAAGCAGCCGAGCGGGGTTCTTGAGGGTCAAAGGTCAGACTTTATGAGCTTCTGCTTAGGGAGCCGAGCTGGGTTCTTTCCGTAGGATGTAGGGTTTGAAATGTAAAATTGTGAGACGTTTCCTGCACGGTTCCGACTAGGATTTAAGGTTTTGGTCATTGGGAAGGGAACCGAGGCGGGTTCAAAAGCTCTTTGTCGCATGGTTTGATGATGGCGCTGTCTGCTCCCGCGTATCATTTCAATTAAACTTGCTTCCCCAATGTCAGAAATCCACGAGTGGGGGGAGCGGTGTCACATAAGACGATACGAACCCAAAACAACTCGAAGGCTGGATCACACTGTCATTTATGGGGCAGCCTACCACGGCAATTCTACTTTCTAGATGCAGAAGCCGACCTGAGTGTACGGTAGGCCCGGTAGACATTGCTCCTAGCACCGCAGCTCTCAAAATCTCGCAACACCTCGGCAAGACTGCAAACACACTGAACTTCCAGACCCTCCCAATAGACTCCAATACAGTTCCCGTTTGGGTTACCTTGTTTCCGTGATAAGGGATGCCATAAATTGGGGATTATAGGCTATTCTATTGGTAAAAACATCGCCTAGGTCAGAAGTCCAAACCACCGCAACTCAAAGGCCCAAACCTTAAGAGCCAAGTTTCAGCCGTGGTCGTTCTCGATGCTGATCACGTTGTTGTCGTTCTGGAACCTTGACAGAGGCACGATCCTATCTATCAGCATCTGTAGGCTCCTGCTGGATGTGATCAAAGGGGCCACCTGTAGCGCCAACTCCTGCAAAGTAGTGCACCGGAGCATCATAGACGTAGGGTAGGAGCCCCTAAATTAGGTCTTGATACTCAAGACCTGGGGTTATGTGCTTGTAAGCTTCTGATTCTGAACGCCTTAAAGTCCCGGATTGTAGGCCACTAATCAGCCATTCAGGGTGTTAGATAATCCCAAAGAATGATTACATATGATATTCATATATATATATATATATATATATATATATATATATATATATATATATATATATATATATATATATACGTATGTATATATATATATACATATATAGATATATACATATATATATATGAATATAAATATAAATATATATATACATACATATGAGTAGGTGTATATATATATATATATATGTATATATGTATATATATATATATATATAACCTATTGCAGCCTGGTGACTGGGCACCCTCACATTCGGCAGACTGGGGGCCCACGGCCTGCGGCGGAGGCATTCAAAAAGTCTTGCTGAAGCTTCCATTTGTTGAAGCCTCCCTTTCCCAGGTTTGGGGGTTAGAACGTTCCTTCCATGATCATGCTTGTAGGAATCTTCGGTAGTTATGGGTACTGGCCATTAGGGAAGGGGTGCAGGATGCATTTCTGGGTGAAGGGTCGACAGGGAATAGCACTAACAGGATGTCTTCTGAAACCCTGGAAACCCCAAACTCTAAAATGTATGTCAGTGCCAAGTAATCGAATGAACCTCCCAGGCATATTTATGTTACTTATGTTGCAGTACATCTGATGCGAAGTATGCAGAACCATAGGCGTTTTTGGAGCTCAAGGCGTCTTGGGCTGCAAACCTTTAGGATTGCAGGGTGGAGGATGGGTTTCGAGGTCTTGGGGTTTTAGATACCCTAACTGGAGTTCCAGTCTTGGCGGTTTAGGGGGGTTAAGGATTAAGACTATACAGAGTCGGGAAGCTTTAGTGGCCTCGGTTTCGGCAAAAGCACCCAGAGATGGCTTGATTTTAGAGAACGTCACGGAGTATCCCATAGCTTTTCAGCTTTAGGGCGTTTGGGTGTCAACCTACAAACGGGCCTACACAAAACCCGAAACGTGTAACAACACTAAGGAAGCCCTTGGAAGGACCCTACACCATGCGTGTGCCACGGCCTTCATGTCCACAATGCCGACCTTGGGTGAAGCAAGATCGCTTGGTCTTCAATGGGCTCAAAGGGCGGGGTGAAGCTAGGTGGGGAATCCCCAAACAGCAGCCGCTGTAAAGACGCAAATTCATCTCGCCCCTTCTTCACCCCCACGGCTTTAGGATAGCGCAGACGTAGTTTATGGGAAGGATCTTATGACGCAAAAACGGGGCAACCAAAAGACAAAACTGCAACAGCCTAAGCAAGAGCTTGATACCTTCAACCCCTTAACCTCAGCCGGTTGCACAGACGGGTCAAATGGATTCTGGGAGTTGTTGTGGCTCAAACCTAAGAACCTCCGTAAGAGACTGCAAAGCAGCATCGCCGTCATGGCTGATCACATGGACGGAGAAGGTCTCAGTGAGGATGGAACCGCCATAGCAGACCTCAGCAACAACCCTTCCGAACTTGAACACTGTAAGTTGTTGAAAAGGCCGCCGTTGTCTGACCGCACAGACGAGTTAATCCCCTGCGCTATGGGACATACTCGTGCAGAAGGTCCGTGACGACACCGGGACTCCTGTAAATCAAGCCTCTGCTTTCACTCTACAAGATTTGGGGGATCCGTTTGGCATCATACCTTGGATACCTACATCCTTTACACCCTAGTTTCTACACCCTCTCTCTCTCTCTCACTCTCTCTCTCTCTCTCTCTCTCTCTCTCTCTCTCTCTCTCTCTCTCTCTCTCTCAAGCATTCGAAACGAAACCCTAAACCCTGATTCCAAAGCCTACAAGGCCTACACCCTATCTGTTGGGAAGCTTGGACCTGGGGTTCCTCAGTCCCAAGCCCTGATGGACCAAGACAGCATGCGTCTCGATACTTAGGTAGCTAGTTAGTTAGTTATATATTTGGTTGGCTATTTAGTTAGCTTGTGAGAGAGAGAGAGAGAGAAAGAAACAAAACACAGACAGAGAGACTAAGAGAGATACCCTTTAATCTTATAATCGGAAATCTAAAGTCTGAACGGTACACCGCACACCACATCAACTGCGCCAGAGGAGCAGGGCCAGCAGGAATGCTTCCAGTGCCCGTACAAGCAGGTCCCTCGATGACGCCTGCTCGACTACTCAAGTTTTAAACCTCCAGAAGAAGCTATTGGGCATGCCGACTTCTAACCCCCATTAAGGTAATTTGCCTGTGGATTGAAACCATGCCTGGTTTCAACCTATGCTTAAGCGTGTGAACCAGGCTAAAGGTCGTTTTCGTTGGCTGTCAATCAAAGTTCAACCCACTTACGTCCCCGATGCTTTGCGTAGGGGACCAACAGAAGACAGGCATGCTTCAGCCATGCAAGGTTTTCTACATACATATACATATACATATTTCTATATATATATATATATGTATATATTGTATTTATCTTTTTGTTCTGATGTTTGCATACAGAACTGAATAAGAGCTTATGAACCTGCGTACTTTCAGGGCACATGGGCTTCTAGGCTTACAGAGGACTCCTGCCGGGCCGTAGGCATGGAACTTCAACGGTTCTGATTTTTAATTTAGGGGCTTGAACAAGCATACGAGAGTTTGGGGTGGGGGCGGGGGGTCTTTGGTAACTCCAAACACTAGAACCAGTTGCTTTTGCTCCTGTATTGGACCTTCGAACTTTCCTCTGGAAACCGAGATGTTCATGATCAAACCCAACTGCATGCGGGGCGTAGGCTCTAAGCAATGGGGGCTGAGTGCCCTCTCCCAAAAACGGCTACCCTTCTGAATCATATTACGGTAGGACTGTATAAACCCCACATTGTCAGAGGTTACCTACGCACTGCCTACTCAACTACTAAGATTAAGATTCAGAACTGGCATTTATGGCTGCTACGTCAGAGGTGCTCTGTCTCTTCCCATTAGAAGTCGGAGACACACACACACACAAGAGCCCCGTTCAAGATCATTCGCATCATCATCATCATCATCCTCGCAATCAGACAGCAAATTGAAAACCCTGCGCCCTCAACAACGAAGTCGAGTCCTGGACAAAGGTCAGCAGGTCAAGGTTCAGCGTGCTTTTTCCAGCTCACGCAGCATGAGCTTTGGGTCCTTTGCCCCGTCGAACTTCGCGGAGGACGTTGATGTGAGCCAAAAGGAAGAGGCAGCTGGCTACCCAAACAGCCGGTCGCACAGGTAGCTGCCTAAACTCCAGGAGGTAGGCCCAGAGCAGCCAGTGAACCTCTGCTGCCATCCACACCTGTGAGGTGTCATGGCTGGGGAGCTGCGCAGTACTTCATGCCAACGGATTACTACTACTACTACTACTACTACTACTACTACTACTACTACTACTACTACTACTACTAGTAAGGCCTTAAATAACGAACCCCAAATCTCCAGCCCCAACTCCAAGTTCTCTGCGTTGCATCTACTGAAACCTGAGCCCTTCCGTGAAGCTGAACACAGGCGATTCGTATGGTTCGAGGTCACCGAAGTGAGATTTTTCGACTACATGGGGAATGAACCAAGAAAGAGGTTGGGGGCTTCGGGTTTGCGGCTTGGGTTGAGGATCTTGGAGGGCCTGAATCATCAGTAACAGCATACTCTTAGGCAACCCTTGTGTGGATGTGTCGAAGTTTCAAATATATTCCCCAAAGCAATATTTCAATTTTTCAGCTCCCCTATGATACACCCTCCACAAACCCGACCTCTATGAGTTATCCCAAATCCTTCAGCTCCACTCTATAAAAACCCATGTAAACCCTATTTATCTATCTATCTATCTATATATATATATATATATATATATCTATATCTGTATCTATATCTATATATATATATATATATATGTACCCGTGGAAAGCACCACTGTTCATTCAGCTCCCCTGGCCAGCATGGAGCGGAGCAGCCGGGAGCAGCTTTCAAGTTTCGGAAGGACAAAAGGCACGAGGCAAAGCCACCACACGAAGTACTGCGCTGTGAGCACCTCTGTTTAGGGGTTACACGGCTTTTATAAGCAAGGTGCTTCTCTGTTTAGGAGTTACACGGCTTTTGGGGAGGGGTTTTTGACTGCAAATTTGGTGCCCTTCAGGGGCGATAGGGCTTACGGTTGTTAGGCATCCTTAGACCATCTTATACCCGACACCCTGGATATCACCCAAAAACTCGCCTGAACATCCCATGAGCTAACAACTAAACTTGACATCCTTTTCCATTGTACAAAATGGCCATGCCTGAACCCCGAGCATTGGCATGTATCCATGATGCCCCAAGCATGCCAAAAGCCTAGACAGCCCTAGGCTGTAAACCCCGAAACATACTACCGCTCAAGAAACTGATCCTTTGAAGGCTTGGGGAAACAATGCCAAAACTACTTTAGGACTTTGGGTTTCAGCACTCACAACTAGGACCAAGTCTCTAGGGATCGGGGGGGTGGTGGATATGCGGTTCCCGCTTTAGAGCTTTGGGACTTAGCACTCAAAGCGTTTTAGGTTTGGGAGCTACAGTACTAGGTTGCAGGGTGCACGTCGAAGGTGTGCTGCAGCTCATCTGGAGTCCCAAGTTCGGGGCTGCAGTTCGGCATTTAGCGGGAACAACCTTTGATGTTGACATCGTGCCGGAGGGGCGAAGCTCGCCCTCACCCAGATCATGCCTTGAACTGCCCAAACTTTACACTCCAAGCGCTCAACGACGCGAAATTCTGCCCGTTTCATGTGCCTCTCCCAAACTGTGCAGCACAAACCCCTATGCTGAATCCTGCTAGCCCTATCTGGCCTTGTTGGTGGCCACAAAAGCCAGGGTCTGCAGCAGCATAGCAATGGGAAGCTCATCTCGCGCTGCAAAGCCCAGCCAGGCACACAGCAGAATCCTGAACCGCTGACACATATGTTGAGCAAGCAACACTGGTAGAATTTCATATGGGTAGCCTTCGAGATTCAAGCCCTTCTTTCTGTTGGGACCGCCCGACAGCAGTGTCACTAGTCTTGTGCTTGGGACTTGGGACCTCAAAAATATGCAAAAATGATAGAACCACCTACATGACAGAACGGTTGTCTAGTTCTCGCGTTGCAGAGTGCCCAGCAGAGGAGGGGCCCTAATAGTTAGAATACGGGTTTCAGGGATTTGGTATACTGTACCATATTCACACGAGTACGGGAGCCGTAAGGAGCACTACTAATCTCCAGGGCTCTGTCTACTCCATCTTGCATGGGATGAAGAGTTCAAGGTCGAATGCTCTGACAAAATGCACAGCTGAAGGATGTGTGTGTTGAACAGGCCAAGTGTCTGCGGGACCGCGGCGAAACGTGCCAGGTCTGGAACCATTCCATGCAAAGCCCCTGGAGGCAGTTGCTTAAGTTCGCTGGTATACTATAGTATGATCGAAAAGGGTCACAACTGCCGGAACAATGACGTATACATTGGCCTCAACTAGTCAAAATGCCGATGCGAATGCAGGCTCAGGGCGTTGGAACCTAAGGTGCTCAGTGCCTGGTCTTTCGCAAGACCAGCATCCGGAATCCTCAACCCTAAACCGAGGCAGCTCAGAGTCCTTTGCAACATCTCGATGAGGATCCTTTTCTGCGTTAACCTTTGTTTCTGTTTCGTGCCCACAACTAACACCACCCGTCGAGAATTCTTTTCAAGTGCCTGCGGGCCTGAAGACTGCAGACCGTCTGAAACGAATAGCGATTGACAGCTGTTGTGGGTACAGCCTCAACCCACGTTGCAGCGGGGCTCCCGAAGCAGCCTATACCCTGAGACTCTGAACCAGTGCCATCCTGCGGGTGAGGCGTCTCGTCAAGTTGCATCAAGAGAAAGCATTGTCCGACCCCTTCATCCCAAGCCGTCCTAGAAACCGAGTCGTCAGCCAAAACACACCAACACAGGGACATGAGTAATTGGCATGGGGGCTTGGGGGGGAGGGAGATTTACTGCAGCTCTACGTAAGGACTCTAAAAATCCTTTAAAATCCCCCCCCCCCCCCCCCCCCCCCCCCCCCCCCCCCCCCCCCCCCCGCCCCCCCCCCCCCCCCCCCTTTAAGGCAGAAGATGGTTGGCAAATGACCCCCCCCCCCCCCATCCGTCAAGGCCCCACGCCCAAAGCTCTGAAAGGCACAAATAAAGCCTTCCCAGTAGCCTTCCAAATGGAGTGCCGTCGGGTAGAAGTAGACGGAGAAGTTATGTTGAGGATCCCTTCGGCTACCTTGAGCTGTAGGATTAAGCGTCTAGTCTTTGTAGGCATCGAAGTCCAAGGTATATAGCCGCTAGGATTCGAGTTTCGGGCTCTTGGTTTCGGAATTGGCTCAAGGTTTCTAGGTTTGACAGCCTTTTGACAGGAGGCTTAGGGCTAGCTTAGGGTTCAGCGTTGCGGTGGTGAAGAGTTTAAGGCTTCTGGGTGTTTCAAAATATCGCGTCTGAGTACCAAAATGTGCCCTTGCAGTCATAGCCCAAACCCAAACCCTGCGAGGGTTTAGGCTCTCGCAACTCGGACAAGCCGGGTGTCGACCTGAACAAAAAGCCCCCCGCACTCCAGAAAACCTCAATGACCCAACATAGTCGCGTATGAGGGCATTCAGGCCTCTATGCTACGTTCTTGCTGCTAACACGAAACCCCTTGCAGCCACCTTCCAATCCCCTGCTAGGATTTGAAGAAGGATTGCCGTCTGTAACTGTGCCCTCGTCGGGTTCCATGTTCATCTCGAGGGTGTCAATCGAAGGTGCCACAAGGTCTCACGTACAACTTGCGGCTTTGCTTGCTGAATACACTGCTCACCAAGCCCCGCACCGAAAGGAGCGGCTGAGACGCCCTACGCATGCATCAAGGAAGCCTTAGGGATACTACTGATTATACTACTGCCTATTGCTCATACCCATCCACATCCAAGTTGCTGTGGTGAAGGTATGAGCATTCGATGAACTCCTGACCATACAACCTTTGCCACAAGGGAACTCCAGTGGTAGGAATCTACCGCCTGGGGGTCAGGACGTCTATGCCTATGCCCTAACTCAAGTGCCGAGGAGTCGAATCGAACCTCTCTTCCGAGTGCAAAACGATAAAAGTTGCTATCTATTTAAAACCTTCGCAGAGGCGTCAATGGTTATCCGCGCAAAACTTGTGTATCCATCGCACTGGCGAGTAGCTTGTAGCAAGCGAAGCCAAGCCCGAGCAAGACCGCAGCCGCCAGAGACCCAAAGCCCAGCAGCTGCAAGAAATTCTGGGCTCTTCCAAAGCCCAGCAGAAATAGTCCGATAGGAAGTGCATAGACGATGGGGTAGATCCTCCAATGGACAGCAATCCCATAACACAGCGCCGCCAAAGGCCAATTCTTCCGTACCTCCAGGAAGTAGATGACAGCCTGGGATTTCAAGACTGAGGAGGGCTTTGAGGTTTGGCTTCGAGGGTTTAGGCTTTGGGGCTTAGGGCTTCCGGTCTCCAACAGATATTTATCAGGAAAAGACGAATCTTCCATATTTGGACCAAAGCTCACAACATGTTGTAACGCCGACAGAACCCTGCAATGGCCATCCAACTCCCAAGTGCTAGAAGCACAAACACTCAGAGTGAATATTTACAACTATTCAGTAACTATTCTTGACCTCGACTTCTACACAGTTTGTTTGGAACACTGCTGGGGCTAAAAGGACCCAGGCCTACAATCCCAAAACCCAGCAGTGCCCTAAGGCCCAAACTGTGCGCCGCGGGGCATAGATTAGCAGCACGACGACTGACTCGCCACTGCCCCTTGTCGAGATGGTAAAGCAGAAGGGGTTGAAGAGCCACAAGGCTAAGCCTCGCAGTCGCAGGGTTTAGGCCCTTTTCGCCGCAGGCTTGAACGCAAGGACGCCTTGTAGTTTGCCGCTCTTCCGCCAGTTAGGACTGTGCCGCAACCCTAAACCCCTAAACCAAATAACATCACAATGAGGAACCCTAAAAATGCCCGGGGTTTTAAGCCCCAAACCGCCTAAACCCCTAAACCAAATAACATCATGATGAGGAACCCCAAAAATCGGGTTTTTGAGCTCCAGGCAGGGCAAGGGTCCCGGGGTGATAAAGCTTTGGGTTGCCAACACGGTCGCCTAGAAAAAAGAACACAAAGGGCCGAAGCCTCAAAAGCCTCAGAAATCATCAATATGTGTGTCCTTGGGGGTTTTTTCTGCTTCTGGTATATGTCTATTCTATTTTTTTCTAATTATGAAGGGCCGATAATCAGCAAAGCTGAGAAGCACAAGCTGATCCGCTTCGAACCCTTGTGCTGCAAGATGCCCTGCAACCTTGGCTGGTCTGCTCTTGAGTACGGTTTCGGGGTTAGCCTAAACCAAAACACACGAAACTCGGGGCATTCATAGCTGGACCAGGATTTTGGGAGAACTGTCTTCAAAACAAGGCCTGTGAGACAGGATCCCGGGTTTCAGGTCTTTCGGGCGTGTCTGGCTTTTGGCTTCGCAGGCTCTCGGGGACCAGCCCTCTCGTAAGGCCACGATGCCCTTAAACCCCAAGCCCCGCCTGAGCACTCCGATCACGGGATAAGGCTGGCGGTTGCTGGGGATTCCCTTTTCTCGTGTTTAGTTCATCGGTCTATTGAAGCTCTAACTGCTAACTTTCTGTCACCTATATGTATATTACAAACATGTGGATATATACACATACACATACACATACTGTGATGAGTCTGGGGGCAGGCATGCCGCAGCCACATCGAGACCAGAGAATAGCAGCTTGCCCCAGGCCTTGTCAGACTTCGTTTCTGCACGGAAAAATGGTTGGGCTGGGGTTTACCTATTTCTATATTGAACTTGGAACCCTAGCAACAATTACAGTTTTGGCTGTTTCGTAGGGATTACAATAACCAAAAATTCAAAAGTATTTCTAAATACCCCTAAGATTTGGGAATCGGGAGTCAAGCGCCTAGGGATTCTTCTCGGCCCTTGGCGCTTATATAGATTGTGAGACTCGGAGAGGTTCCATCATTGCTCTCGGTACTGCAGCCAGGCATGCGACTTGTAACTCTGTTGCAGACTTCTCCTTGCAAGACAGCCGGCCGGCCTTATGGAGCCACACATTTGGCAGCAGAAGATAAGCGAGAAGTGGCGTGTATCCTCGGGTGAAGCAGTCGTGAAGTCTTCTAGCATTTCGGTGTTTAGGGGAGATTTTGGGGTTTAGGACTTTGGTGGCACTTCAGACATCATCCTGAAGGCCCGTCGTCCGGACGAGAAGATGCTTGAAAACAGCTTGCTGGGTCTATCTGTGGAATATGGGAGTTTCAGAAAATGGGGAACCCTAATATAGTACCCTAAATATTAGGATCCCTACTATAAGGAGCTCAAAATAAGGTACCCCTATTTCCGGAAACTCCCATATGACACACTGCGATTCCGAATGCATCGACATGTCAAGTGCAGACGCTCCCAGCCCAGTCGCGATAGCGGGTTGCTTCAGCCGCAAGCAAGGCGGTTCGCCCCTCGTAGGGGCTGAGCCCGAGGGAAATGGACTCTGCAGCATCAGTGAAAACTTGGTAATCCACATCGGTGTAGGGCACCTGGCACGGGGAGTGCTTGAATGACATGGTCCCTTTAGGAGGTCCGTTTGGCGACGACTTCGCAGAGGGTTTACGGTTTACGGCACAAGCCTCAATCTGAGATTTTGATCGACAGAGCTTCTCGCGAGTTTAGGACATCCAAACCTCCATCAACCCTGAAGGCTGATCGAATCTACCAGAGCAGCTTTTCGGCAACGCGACCTCGGCAAGATAGTCCTGCACCTCCGCCACGACAATAAGAATCAATCGGAGGAAGACAGCTGCAAGTATCAAAATGCGTGGTGGTACCTGCAAGACCATGGGCCTGAGGCCCTTTCAATCAAACCTAAACCCAAAACCTTCCTGGCTGCTTCCACACAGGGTTTGGGGCAGACTGCAAACATAAATCAGGAACCCGAGCGAATGTTGTCTAAACCGGTTGAAGTTTGGACTGGTATCCCAAATCAAACCTGCACTCTGCGTCTTGCCTGCCCGATGTAGTCCAGGGTTGCGTCCATTGCGGGACGAACGGGGCCACTCCCCCGCAACCCGACAAAATGACAACTCGATCGAATTGGGAATTGCCGCTGGGGACTTTCATTTCTACGGTCCCCCAAACCCAATGTATCCTTGCCCTGACCTCCCTACCTAAACTTTCAGCCCCATACTTACCCTCACAATTCCTAACTCTCAATTGCAGCCGGGCAGTCTACGGTTGACCTTGGAAGCTTCACAGTTGACAGGCCTTTTTGCAACCGAAAAGCTCTAGGGTTTAGGGTTTGGGGTTACGGGTTCTAGAAGGTTGAACACGATGTGCGGTTTTGAGGTTTCAGGGTCATCTGCGGCAGCATGTTGCTTATCCACAGAGCCAAACAGCGACGGTTCCGTTTCAGGTGGAATTTCAATCTCCCACAAGTCGCACGCTAGTGTAACACGTAAGCTACCTCCTGATGGGAAATATAGGCTCCAGGACGACACCGAAGGCTGTGACCTTGAGAACTTTCGGCCTAAGTTTAGGTGCAGTCTCGGGTTCAGCTCGTTGGCTTCACAACAACAAAACGCCCCTGTCAGGGTTTGACGCGTGAATTATAGCGAGTAGCGAGTAGTGTCCTTTCTTGCGTTGCCCCTAAACCCCTTTGCAGCCAGGCCTGCTGAGGTGTTGCCCCTAAACCCCAGAATCAAGAAACCCAGATCATCTTTGGATGTGGGACCTTCACAAACAGCAGGCTATTCGCCCACCGCTGGAGTCAAGTGAACCGGCCGAATCCATATCGAAGCCCCGCCTGAACTCGCAACAATGCTTGTAAATCGTTTATAGTATGTGTATATGTGTGTATATGTGTGTATATATATATACATATGTGTGTGTAGCCATGTATACATATATGTATATATATATATATGTATATATGTATATATGCATATATGCATGCATCTATCTGCTCTATAAGGCCTTACAGAGCTGCCGCTGACCATGCATTGCAGTTCAATAGTGCCTGTTTCAGATGACCTCTCCTACGGCTAGGCCTTCGATGAGTGGATCTAGGGTGACCCTTGTCTGAGGGTCTGTGAAACCCCACTACACCCTTACAGAAACGGTGGCACAAACCCTGTAGACTCTAGAAGCAAACGGATGGACGCTTTAGTATTAGAAAGCCATCACAACTTATCTTAAATGAAACACTGACCCACAATCTAGCACCTGAAACCTTAACCCCTACACACCGAAAGACGTGTGTTACGGAGCCCGCACACCCCTCCACCCGTTTTTGCATAAACCGCAAAATGCGAACCCCTAAACAGACAGGCCCCAAACCCCAAACCGAAAGACCCGTGTATGGAGCCCCCATAGCCTTGCCTCCACGAACTCCCGCCGGGCCGGCCGCAGCGAGCCTGCATAGTCGGATCCTAATCCAAACAAGTGATCAGCCAAACCATGGAACCATGCTGGACTGCAGGAAAAATCTATGCCGTTTCGTGCTAAGACTGTCAAATTCGCATTGGGCAGGCAATGATGCGCTGCAAGTGGTCCACCAGATGATGGAAAAGCCAAACCGCTTTTCCGACCTTTAACCTATTATGCAGGAGTTTAGCAGGGAACCCGAAAGCCCTCGGAACCGAAACAGACACCTTTTACCACAAAAGCCCTAAAACCTTCTAGGATCGCTACAAAAACTCTCAATGAACGCCTGACCCCACAGGCCCAAGATTCTCCAAACTCAGGTGCTGCCACAGTACAGAGGCAGAGCGAGGACGAGAGCAACGAAGGCCATGATGCCTTGGGCTAGGATGGAAGTCTAGGATTTAGGGGGTTTATTCGTTTAGGGAAACCCTAAGAGACCACACGTACTCATTATCACCCAAACAGTATCACTCCAAGAACCCAGTCCACTCTTGAATGCCCCGAAGTTGAAGCTAAGCATTCAGGTTGAATGCCCTAGAGTCCCTAAAGACTAAGGCAGTTCGGGGTCTAGAGTCTAGAGCCCAGGGAGCCGCAGGTACTTCAGGAACCAGGCTTCAAAAAAGGCGTTTAAGGACATGAGGGCTGGCTGACTGCTGGCAGCTCTAGACGCTCGGTCCGTCGAGTGTCGCTGCTACTTCGTGGCCGAGATTTTGAGATGTTGGGTGTTGGGTGGTCGGGTTTTCAGCTCTGGTTCGGGAGGAGGGGGGGTTGGGGTTGGGATATCTGGGATTTCACCGCCAGGCTACCATGGGCCTGACCAGCCGGATGCTTGGATTTTCATGTCTAGTCTTGCCCTGAAACTTGGACTATAATTTCGGTGGAGACATGCATACATACGTACACACATACATACACAAACACTGACATAATGCATGCATACATACACGCATGCGTGCATGCACACAGGCCCGTACATGCTATACACCGTATGGATGCATGCCCACGGCAGCCGGCTAGCCAAACAGAAAGTCGAAGGCAGATCGACGGACAGACAAGCACAGGTGTGCAGACAGGTGTGTACATGCGCAAGCAAACGCATGAATGTATGCACCTTCGTGTATAGACATGTACCTACACGACCTTCGCAAAAGCCTAGGAAGAGAATAGCTCACCTTGGACAGTCAAGATCATACAGTCTTCAGATGTGTATTGGGATCGCTCGCTCTCTGTAGCTCCCAAGAGTGTAGCTGCCTGAAAACATGTAGCTTCACGGGATGATGTAATCCCGGGCCAGGTTTGATCTAGAGACAGTACAGATGCATCAAGGCGTAAGAATCATGTATGTATGAATGCATAATGCACGTGTGTGTTATATAGCCTGTGGATACATGGTACATGCAGATGTATGCACATTTAAACTTCAAGTAAGATGGTTCGGAATAGATCTCACAACCAGCCCGGGGTTCCTGCTCGGGGCTCGGCTCGATTGAAGGAACCAAGGGAGTACATGAGTACGCTGGTTACCAGCAAGACAGTTTCATTGTTACACTTGTAACTCCCTGTATAACCTACGTTCTAAGTACCCCGCTCCAGAAAGCAAACTGCAGAAGTTGAACAAAAACATGTCCAAACCCACACCCATGTTCTTAAACCCAAACGCCCTGAACCTGCAGGGGGCTTCGGCAAAGCTCATCCAAGCTGCTGATGGATGTTGAAGCACAGGGAAACACCGAAACAGACGAAGGATAGCTGATCCCACAAAATGCTGCAGCGAAAGGATAAAGTTTAGGCGACTCTGAGTGCAACACCTGCATCCTTCAATGAACTGCGGCCCCAATCCCTCCCCCATGAAGGCACCAAAGCGGGCTTTCTAGGTTGGGGCATCTGCGGACCGCCATATATTCCCTAAATCCTAGTCCCCAAACCAATGCTCCCCCCGGGGTTTCGAGCGGAAGCATTCTGGAATTGCATGTCTCCCCATTTTTGAAAAGTGGCCGTGGCCGTAGGTATCAACAGAACTGAAAATAGCCACTAGTATAATTATAGTATACTGGTTCCTGCGATGGAGAAACGTAATTAGGAACGGCATCACTAGCAGCAGAAGACAGAATAACTTATCCATAAACATGAAATTAAGCACTGCAACCACAACCATCACGCGTACCTCCAAAAACAGCGTTAATAGCACCCCGTTTCCCACTGAGCAAGGCATGCTCATGAAACCGTGACAAGAAGCTGTTTTTTTGCAACCCCAATTTTGTATAGATAGGGGATGCTTAGAGGTGTGTGCATAAGTATACATGTACACATATGTATATACACATGTTGAACAATATATGGATGTACATATGTATATATATATATATATATATATACACACACACACCTGTTCGTTGATGTTTATCGCTTCGTGGCTATTCGGGCAGGGTGGCGCCTCCGATTTACAACAACGATGCCGCAGCCCCGGGAGGCAGCCGCTGACATCGCCATCCCTAAGCCCAGATACCTCTACAAAAGGTTGCGTAGAGGTCGCTACACTCTCGTCCCAAAAGCTTGTAAACCGTGTGAAAGCGTCAAGCGGCCTTTGAAGCACTGTGACACGAAAAGGCGTCTGTAGGAGTTACTATGAATTTTAGCGAAAAGAAGAGGGCTACCAGGTTTCTCTATAGGGTTCTCAAAAGGCGTCTTCAAGGGTTTCTGTCTAGGATCCGTGTTCCTTGAGCCATTAAATGTCCAGGGCGGCAGTGGGCATCGCAGTACTAGGCCCTCGCAAGTTTAGGGTTTGGGGTTTTCGGGCTTTCGGGGCTGTAAGGTGTACATACTCATCTATGTAACTAGATAGATAATCGAAGAGATCGACGGAAAGGAGTTTCTCTAGGGTTCTTAGGATTTGGACTTTGCGATTCAGGGCCAGTGGGATGCGATATTGGAGTCTAGTACCCTCCACAATTGGAGCCGGACGACGGTCATAGAGCATGACAGTTTCAGATTCTCATCCTGACCCTTAGCCCGTACCGCGAAAACCCTACTGTTTATCCGAAGCAACATGGCAGAAAGGAGGCCGAGGAAAAAGGACTTGCTGGGGTTTCGGAACTTACAACTCTTAAGTGTTCGCATTCACTTCTGCCCAATACTCATAGCCCTAAGCTCGGAAACCCTACTGAAACCCGTACTTGTCTCTTTCCTTATCCCCATAACTTGTATCATGGAACCCTTACAGAAGCGTATATACATCCTATAAGTATCTTGTGTATAAATACAGATAGATAGATAGTCAGACAGATAGATACATAGAACCCTCATGGAATCCTGGAAGAGCAAGCCCTGATAAATTCAGCCGCGCGACTGGTCGAAGGCCATAAACTGTACCCCAGCATAAGGCATGACCTGTAAGGGTTAAGGGTTCAGGGTTGAGGGTTTTGGGCTGCAGGGTTTAGGGCTATTTAGGGTTTAGGGTTTGGGAGGTTCGCAAAGGGCTACCGTAACAGGTCTCAAACAAGGCTACCATAGCGGCCACTGCTACGATGAGGGTCACTGTCACCTCCAAACAACAACTTTCAAGCTCAGGGTGTTGCTGCGTATTTTTGTTGATGCATGGGTCGGTACATTAGGGTT